TACTACTGAAAACCCATTTTACTATATGTAAAAATCTAATGTCCACCTAGTCTCTTACGTTTCCTGTTGAGTTCCATAGCATTCTTTAACTGGAGCTCATACATTCTATTTCTCCTCTGGTAGAAAACATACTCTGGGTCAACTCCTGTGTTCGCGTCATCTGCATAGAGTTGTTTATATCCCACTTCAGGGTTTGTATAAAACTCTTTCCATCTCATATTTGCATACCATGGTGGCAAACCTAACGCAGCGTCATTTGACATGGCAGTTTGCATTTGTACATCTGTTGGCACTTGACCATAGTTTGCCATTGCAGTTTGTATTCTAACTTCATTTGGAATATTCTCTGGGTTTGGTTGTCCAGGTTGCTGTGCATTCGCTAAGTTCTGTGCGTCCATTTAATATTAGATAAAAATATCTCTTACGAGTACATATACTGAACATTTGCAGGCATTGGTTCATCTTCATATTCTCTGTACTTTTCTGCCACGTCAAAGAAATAAATGACACAATGGAAAAAACCTAAAACAAGTAGTCCTATTTCAAACCACATTTACTTACTAGTAAAATTTCTTTGTTATGACACTTTTTCCGGTTTATAGGACCTCTCTCATATTCTATCTTGTCATATCTAAACTCATAGTCATGTATGTCCTCTAACCATCTCATACACTTTCCAAACCACTTTTATCGGATGTAAAGTAAAAGCATGGATGGTTATGTAAAACGTCTAAAGTTTCTAAAGAGTCTCTCAAAGTCCAGTCTACTTGGTATTGAAAAATCCCATGTGTTAAAGAACGGCGGGTCCACTATAAAGAAAACATTTCCTTGTCTTTATATTTTTCATACAACTCTGTCCAATGACATCTCACAAACTCTATACCCTCAATATATTTTTCTATGTTCTCTTTGAAAACATTTGTATAGTTAAGATATAAAACTTTTGACATAAGTGTTTCAATGTCATGAACTCTTATAGCACCACTATATAATAGTCTAGCAGATATACTATCCCAGTCAATATACTCTGCCTTTTTCAAAACCTCTCTGACAGTATTTTTGTTATCTAATGGTATACGTTCCATCTTACCTATAGGTATCTTTTCTTTCAACTCACTCAATATTTTGTTTGTGTCTGGTATATGTTTGAGACGGTTCATATAGTTGTCGAAGTCATTGCATATAATCTTTGAGTCAGGAAATACAGTATGGCACAAATGAGATATATAGAAACTTCCACCGAACAAATCTACAAATGTTAGACCATTCGGTAGTTTCTTAAGTTCTCTCAATAGAATATCTTTACATCTACTCTTATTTCCAAAGAAGGGTAACGGTGGTTTTGTAAAATTCATTTTATATACAATAAAAATGTTTTTTCCCTGAAAAGTGACAGATGTTTTATTGTGACTTCTTCGTAAAGACTTTGTTGAGATTTCTTCGTAAATGAGTGTAAATGACCAAAAAATAATGTTTATGTTAGAATGTTAGATCTAACACCTTTTCTAACATGTTTTCTAACATCGTAGAAAACTATTTCATTTTCCATACTGGTCCAAAAATATCTGCATCTTTCATATCTTTCAATGGCATTAAAGCCGCGCTGAAAATACCAGCTACATCTGGTTCACCATTCACTTCCATTGCGTCTACAACTTCTTGGAATTGTGGTTGTAAGTTTATGAACCACTATCCGGATTAGCTTTATGACCCATCTCATTGTAGTTCCATCGTCTGCAGAAACAAAAGTAGGTTTGTTTCCATATTGGCTAGGTTCTGAATGAACTTTAAACAATGTTTCATTTCTATATGTTTTGTTGAAATTTAACCTTTTATTTTCACCGAGTTCATCCAAAGATTGAACGTTATATGCTCGTAAGTAAAAAGGATTGTTGTATTTGTGTACATTATCTTTCAGTACTTCCATTCTATGCTGGATTTTCATCTGATGTTGGAGTCTTTTGTATGTCGGCGAACATTTTTCGATATTCTTCTACTATGTCAGCTGAATTTTTCTTAGACTCTTGGAAAGATTCCATATTCTCCGCATACTCTGTTGAGGGTCAAGATTTTTCGGCTGTTCCAAATCTTCATCTAGTTCTGTGAAGTTAGTTTCCAAAGGAGGGACTTGTTCGTTTCCTTCTGGCTCTTCTAGCTGTTGTTGCTGAACTATTTCTTCCATGTCTGGTTGTATCTGAACTTCTTCCTGTGGAGTTTCTTGTACCTCATCTGCTGGCATTTCATATATTCGAGACCGTTTTTAACAAGTTCCCTATCTAAGTCATCCGGACTCATAACTTTCTTCTTTCGTTCCGTCTCTATTTTTACGCGTTTCATGAAGAGAGTTGAATTATCGTTTAGCTCTGACACCAAATATCTTGGAGTAAATTCAGTCATGTCATTTGGATGATATGCTATTAAATCATATCCCTTAGCGAGCTTGTATTTTCCAGGTTTGAAATTATATCCCATTTGGTGCTGAACCATAAAGCTAAATAGGTTCGGGTCAGTATTTCCTTCCTTGAACTTTCTAATAGCTTCTTTATATCTGTCACTAAAGTCAAGAGTATCTGGGTAACCATAGTCTTCCTTAAGCATTTTTAAGAATTCTTGGTTTCCTTGTTCTCTACTTCTTTTATGTCCTTGCTCTGTTTGTGGTTGTTGCTGTGCAGTGTTTTGAACTGTTGGTTGTGGTGCAGTGTTTTTGAACTGTTGGTTGTGGTGCAGTGTTTTGAACTGTTGGTTGTGGTGCAGTGTTTTGAACTGTTGGTTGTGTGCTGGTTTTGGTGCATGCCTGTGTCTGTGTCCATGTGACGATGTAAATGTTTTAGGTAGTCCTGGTGCAGGTGCTTCTCTTGGAGGGTTTGGTGGTATATAAGTTCCACTAGCTAGTATATAAGTTCCACCAGCTGGTATATAAGTTCCACCAGCTGGCACATATGTTCCATCCTGCAGCATAATGTCCTACCTGACTTTTCGTTTTTAAGAAAGCATTTACTAGGTCTGTTTTGGTCTGTTGTAACTCTTTTTCTTGACTTTCCACAACAGTTGCTCTAACGGCGTCATAGGCACTTTGAACTGCCTGTCTCGTTGCTGCATCTGTTATTTTCGTCATATTTTGTGCTACTTCTCTTAACTCGTTGTCGAAACCTTCAGACTTCAGTTTCTTTCCAGATGAGAAGTCGTTCACTAGTTTCACCTTACTATGAAGAGCTTCGAAGGCGTTCTTAAAGTCAGCATTCATTAAAGCTTCATTTGAACTGTCTTCATCCGCTTGTATTTTTGTCCTTATTGACCCTATAAGTTGGGCTGCTTTAGCGTTGGCTTGGGCATCTAACCAGTCATTATTAGCTTTTATATATTCTGCGCTTTTCATTGCCTTTTGCATGGCTGCGTCGTTATTTTTACTTTCTTGTGCTAAGTTTTCATACTGTACGGTTTGGTTTTGCAACTGTAAAAGTTTTCTTGCCTTTACATTTGCTTCAACTTCTTTTTATACTCATCGCTATCCATATATGTCTTCAGGGCTTTTTGTTTATTTCTTCATCTTTCAGTACTTTATATTGAGTAGTATGGTTTTTCAAATTTATAACATCTTGTTCCATTTTTGCTACTTCTGCTGCTTTTTCTGACACTTTTTTCGCATATTCCTCTGTACTTAGTTCTTTAGTTGTTCTTCTTTCTTCTTTTTCTCTACGTTTAACTCATTGAGTTTCTTTGTGTGTCTGTCATATTCTAGTTTCTTTTCGTTTTCACTTATTTGTTTCTGTATGTCTATGTTTGACTTTTTGACATCTGTTATTTGATTTTTGAGTGAACTCAAATTCATTTGACTTTGAGGGTTATAAGCTGTTCCGTCTGCAGCTCCACCATAGCCTGCCATTTTCGCTAAAAGTGCCGCTCTTAAACCTCCACTCTGTGCACCAATAACTCGGTTTAAAAGCATAGGGTTGCTTGACATTTGTTGCAACATAGTGGGGTCATTCATCATTTGTTGTTGCAACTGTTGTTGTGGTGTCAGTTTTACTATTGGATGTTTCAATGCTCCCTTCCTCTTACGTATATTCTTACGTAGCTTACGTGGCATTTTAAGTGAAGTAAAAAACGGTTTTTGACAGATGTTTATATGACACTTTTGTTCAGCACAAAAAACTACTCGGTCAAAGTGTTGTCGGTTTTGTAAAATAACCATCCTATCTTGTTTTAAAATGGAGAAAAGGCTTCTCAAAGTATACTTCCTTGGAACGCCTGTAACTTTTTCTGTAGCGACGTTAGACCCTTACTTGTCCGGACAAAGTTATACTATTTTGAGTGCTCTACAAAAAAGTCAACGGCGACGACTCTCATATTCTATCTTGTCATATCTAAACTCATAGTCATGTATGTCCTCTAACCATCTCATAACGGTTTCCAAACCACTTTTATCGGATGTAAAGTAAAAACATGGATGGTTATGTAAAACGTCTAAAGTTTCTAAAGAGTCTCTCAAAGTTTACTTCCTTGGAACGCCCGTAACTTTTCCTGTAGCGACGTTAGACCCTTACTTGTCCGGACAAAGTTATACTAAACTTTTTATGGGCTAGAGGGCACGAAGTGCCTGGAAGGCCATCCCAAGAAAAAAAAAAAAACTTCATTATACTAAACATCTTCAGGGCTAGAGGGCACGAAGTGCCTGGAGGCCCCACTACCTTTTTTTTTTTTTTTTTTTTTTTTTTTTTTTTTTTTTTTGAAATAGTCAAGTTACAATTTTTTTCTAAGATGTCTTATATCACTATAATGAAAAAATGAGCGTTTTTAAAAAGCCGCCGTTTGAGAGGAAAATTGAGAGCCCCGATGAATACTTTTTGACATTGTCAAAAACTTTGAAAGGACAAAAAAATTTTAGTGTCAGAAAGTTTACAAATGTATACTTTCTGACAAACAGACTCTCAGAAAGTACTCAAACTGCGGTTTTTAATTTCCGCACTTTTTTTGGCGACCTTATATCGAAAAGTGTGTAATTATTTTTCTTCCTTTTCATCTTCTTCAGGAATATCCTCTTCTTCCTCTTCATTGTCTGGTTCAAATAATCCTGAAACATGGATATCATAATCTCCATCATTTTCAAGTGTAACCTCACTGAATTTGGAAAATGTCTGAGAAACTCTTGTTTGTTCGATTTTTCCTGGAATTAATTTTGCAATTGGAGTATCGTATGTTAAAACATCCTTTTCGGCTTCACTTGGATTTTCCACAGCGCGTGAAACTTCTTTTACATGAGCAATTAAAGTTGATTCTTTTGGATTTGCTGATTCGTCAATTAATCCATAAGAAACATTTGAAATAATGCATGTAGCATCTTCTGGTATATCTAATTCTTGCTTTTCATGTGGTCTGACAATGATTCCCCAGAAAGACTGGGTGATTTCGACTGATTCGTCCTCAGACATTAAAAAGTGTCAGTTCAAAACTTTATATCCAACTTGATATTACAGAACAATATATATACATCTAATAAGCTCTTGTTCCGTCATGTTGAATTGCTCTATATTCAAGTATTTCGAAAGTATGGAAAATGTTCCATTTGATTGCGTATATTTTTGAAGTAAAAAGGAAGAATTACACCAGTAAAATACACTAACATTTAAAAAAAATATAAAGTAACAAAAATATTATAATATTATGGATCAAATAGTATTGAATCAATACTTCTGTAGTATGTTTCGTTTTGTTGGACCGAAAGATCCCTTCTTCTTGAATACGGTTGAGCCAACAAGTTTGATCATATTATAACTTTGAACAGAACGTATCTTCTGAGGCTTAGCATCATTCTTCAACACATATGACTGTGTGTGGAATCCGAATATGCCAAGTCTGAGGAGTTGATCAACTGTAGGTCTTTCAGCCGGATTGCGTTTTAAGCAAATGTCAATTACTTTATTGATTTCGGGGTTAGAATCTGATAAAGGAATGTAGTCAGCTGCTAATATAGCCTGTAATATTTCATCTTGGGTATATCCGAACCAAGGAGGAAATCCGGTATACAAAACATAAAGGGAAACTCCGAAAGACCAAACGTCGGCTTTATATGGATCAAATGGTTCTTTCAAAAATATTTCTGGAGCCATATATAAAAAGCTACCGCCGAAATTCGTACTTGTTTTTGAATTATTCTTAGAAGATAAACCAAAATCACCAACTTTTGCTCGCCCGAATTGGTCAAGTAGTAAGTTGCTTGGTTTCAAATCTCCGTGTGAAATGTTCGCTTTGTGACAGGTTGACAATAAATAAAGAACTTCTTTAGCGTATTTGATCAAATCTGCTTCTTCCATTTTTCCTTGTGATTTTATGAAAGAGTCCATTGATTTCGGGCAATATTCCATTGTTAAATACACAAAATCACCAATTTTCTCATAATTGTAAAGTCTAACAATAAAAGGTGAATCAATTGCGCATAGTGCATCAACTTCTTCTTGATTAAAATGGCATGCATCTATGATTTTTATTGCAAAATTTTGATTGTACTGAAGAGAAAATACGAGATGAACCGAGCCAAAAGCGCCTTGACCGATCTCTTGTATGTAGGCAAAACTATTTTTTGTCATAAACTCTTCATCTAAATTTCCTTTCATCAATAAAAATATTGCAAAAATATTTGTAAATCTATCAATTTTTTTTGACATTTTAGATTTGAAGATGGTACTTTTAAGAAGTTTACGTTTAAAAGTGACATTCAATTTTTACGATGCGATTACAGATCCAAATTTCTCTATGTTTTTGATTGTTGGTGTGAAATATATTATATTCCAATTTTCCACAAAATCGATACGCATTTCTCTTTCTTTTTGATTTTCAAAATTCATTGTTTTGTATTGATTGTAATTTGCAGGTATTTCTAAAATTTGTTTTTGTCTATATTTTTGTGAAGCATTGCAATTTCGAAATGTTGAATTTCAATAAATTGTGAGATATTGCCGCTGAAACATCATGAATTATTGATATACTTTTATATTTTCAGCGAATTTTTCTCAAAGGCAAGTTTGAATCGCAATATTCATGATATTCTTTAAAGAGCTTATTTCATAGTTTATTTATACTATCTATCGAATAAGAATGCAGTTCAAAGTTTCCAACACTTGGTGTGGCACTTCTAATTAATCATTATTAAAATATTGAGCACCAAATTACAATTCACTTTGGTCGATGTGATATCTATAATATGTATTTACGAAATCAATTATGAAAATCGAGGGTAATAACATTTAAGACTATTCCATAAACACCAATTTATAATTAGAACAAAACTGCATTATCCTTTTGACTATATCCTTAAATTGTTAACTATTTATATCAAAATATATTGGAAATTTCAATTTTTGAAGAATCTTTGATTAGTAGTATATGATGCGGGTTGTGTGACTTTTTTTGTAATCGTAAGAATTCTCACATAATTGAATGATTTTTGAACATACTTCCGAATAGCAGATTTTAAAAATTTATGAATAATTTATAAAAAGTTTTTATTCCTACAATTCCTATATTACCATTAATAAAAAGAATATATTTTATAATAGTTTCATTTCGAACATGTTAAAATTTATCTGCATTTCGAAAAATTTTATTATAAATGATAATATAATTTATTAAATTAATATATAACTTATGAATTTTTACTTTTTGCATAGATTCCAAATATGGTGTCAATTTTTTAAAAATTTTGAATTCAATGAGTTATATCAAAAATAAAATTCTTGAATAGAGTAAAAAAATTTAAATAATTTATTTAAATATTTTCTTCTGACATTTTTGAATAATTTATTTTTTTTATTTTTTATTTTATAATAAATGAGTATAACAACTAATTCATTGAAATCTTTAAAGTTCACTAATTCAGAATTAGAAAATATTTTAGAAAATTTTGGAGACGGTTCTTATCCAACATATATGCAGAATGTGAAAGAGTTTTCCAGATTGTTGAATGAATTTAAATATAACGGACCAATTACTAAAAAGGCTATAATGAGATATTTATATCCCAAAAAAGTTGAAAAACAGGAGAATATTCCTCTTTATGGTCCAGAGGACCTGGGCTCAGAGAGCCTTGAAACACCTCCTGAATATTTTGAAGAAAAAATTAAACAGGATGAATATTATAACGATGAGATTGAGAAATTGGAACAATTAAGAAATGAAATAGATGAAAGAATTAGTGAATTGAGAAATGCTGAGAATGAAGTAGAGGGTTTAATGAATATCCCAGCTTCAGAATCAGAAGTTCAAAAATCACATGAGGAAAGATATAAAAATTACTTTTTGGAATCTACTAAAAATTTATTAGATCTTGATCCACTCATTTTCTTACGAATTAAAAAAATAAATTATTCAAAAATGTCAGAAGAAAATATTTAAATAAATTATTTAAATTTTTTTACTCTATTCAAGAATTTTATTTTTGATATAACTCATTGAATTCAAAATTTTTAAAAAATTGACACCATATTTGGAATCTATGCAAAAAGTAAAAATTCATAAGTTATATATTAATTTAATAAATTATATTATCATTTATAATAAAATTTTTCGAAATGCAGATAAATTTTAACATGTTCGAAATGAAACTATTATAAAATATATTCTTTTTATTAATGGTAATATAGGAATTGTAGGAATAAAAACTTTTTATAAATTATTCATAAATTTTTAAAATCTGCTATTCGGAAGTATGTTCAAAAATCATTCAATTATGTGAGAATTCTTACGATTACAAAAAAAGTCACACAACCCGCATCATATACTACTTTGATTTCAATCAATAGAATTTAGCTTTGGAAAATAAATTTGTGTCCAAATTTATATTTTTATTTGGTTGAATAATGAAAATAGCGTTTCTCCTTTCTTTTGGAGAGATTTACAAATTGCCAAGGGTGTCATTTTTTCAAAAGCTATCTAGAATATGTTCTATTTGTACGAAGAAATGGAAATGATTGTCGTTCTATAAGAGATTTCAGTTACTTATAAATGTTGCCATTATTGATATCTTCTTCAAGGTGTTCAGTTAGTTTCAGCTATACTGATTCCAATAAAACACTTGTTATATCAGGTGATGGTGAGTTTACAGCTGCAGATATTACCAAAATCTTTGGTGATCATAAGAATTTTACACATCTTCAAATCTATGGCGCAATCACTACTATTCCAGATTTAGCATTCAATGGATCAGAAGTTTTAACAGATATTGTAATTCAAGCACCAATTTCCAAGTTTGGCATTCAATCATTTTCTAACTGCTTCGCTCTTCAATCATTTACAATTCCTGAAACTGTTGATTCACTTGGAAATTCGTGTTTTGCTTCCTGCACTAACCTAAAAACCCTTCAATATCATGTCCATACAATGACTTATGGCGATAGTGCTTTCCAAGGATGCAAGAACTTAGTTTCATTCATTCAAGTTAATAACGATACCTCTAAACCAATCGAAGGAATGAAGCATTCATTTGGTCAGTCTTGCTTCCAAGGATGCGCCGCTTTAACAACTATTGCACTTCCTCCAAATACAGCATCTATGGGAGATAGCATATTCCAGGGATGCACAGCCCTTACATCATTCAATTCTACATCTGATTTAACAGAACTTCCAAGACTGGCATTCAAAGGATGCAACAAGTTACACACAATCAATATTCCAGATGTAGAAACCATTGGTGTCAGTGCATTTGAAGACTGCTCTTCTTTGAGTGCATTTACATTCAAGAACATCAAACTCATTAAGTTATACGCATTCAAGAACTGCAAGTTCAACTCAATTCCATTAGATACATTTGATTTCAAGATGGAAGGTTATGTTTTCTACCAAAACAATAATCTCAAATCATTCTCAATGCCACCAAGCATGGATGTTGTCCCTGAATTCACATTTTACGGATGTGGCTCATTAGATACTATTACATACAGAGGAAACATCAAAACAATCAAGAATTCCGCTTTCAGACAAGCAAACATTTTAACATTCGAAATTCCAAAGACATGTGAAACAATTGAACCATTTGTCTTTGCAGAAATGACAAGAGTCAATGGTTTCACAATTCCTCCAGAAAACAAATTCTTCTATTATGATGCTAATCAAAAGCTCCTTTACAACTATGACAGAACAAAGTTAATCCATTCAATCTGGACATCAAATGCGGCCAACCTTGTTTTCGATGAGCATTTGACATCAATCGAAGGATGGCCATTCACTGATTCAAATGTCCATACAAACTATACAATGCCAAGTGCTCTTGTTTCTCTTGGTGATGCAGTCTTCAGAAAGAACTCCAAATTAACAGTTCTTGCTTTCCCACCAAATCTTGAAAGAATTCCTACAAGATGCTGCTACCAATGTGAATCTCTTACAACAGTTTACTTAGGCAACGTAAAAGTCATTGGTGCTCAAGCTTTCAGTTACTGCACCAAATTGGCAAACATAGTATTACCACCAACCCTTGAAAGCATTGAGAACTATGCATTCGCTCAATGCAGTGCTCTTACAACCATTGAATTCCCGAAGAAAATCTCTGAAATCCAATTCGGTGCTTTCTATCAATGCAACCTTCAATATGTTGATGTTCCAGATACAGTCAAGTTCATGCCACATACTGTTTTCGCAAAGAATCCAAACCTCAAGTCCATTAAGTTCAATGGTGCTTAAACAGAATTAAAGAGCACATTCTTTGATGATAACAACTTACTCCAGATTACATTAATGCAAAATGTTGATTATGTACTTTGGCTGACCGTTCTTCATCAGTTCAAGTTTTCACTGGTGATTCATACAAGGGTGACACTTTTGCTGGTATTAAAGTTACCAAAGACCAATCTAAATGCACTCAAATGCAATTTGCTGATGCAATATTATTATATGTAAGGAAGTACAACATATTGGTTATTGTTTCTACAACAATTGCAGTTATTGTTGGTGTACTTTTCATTACATTCCTCATTACCAAGTATCTTACTTCGAAAGAAGAATATGAAGAGATTCAATAATTTTGACTAAATACTTAAATATATAGGATTAAATATTTCATATTTTTTAAAAAAAGTTTGGATATTTTGACTTTCATAAAATTACTTTGATGACATATAAGGTAGTCACAAAATCTAAGTAGTGAGGCTCTCAAAAATTGAACCGTACTCCATACAAAATTTGTGTACCCTCACTACTTAGATTTTGTGGCCTTCAATTGAGAGGTTAGTTTTGATAGAGCATGTTATAAAATTAAAAGGGAAAAATAAATAAAATTTAAACATTTAATTATATATAATGTAAGGAGTGTAATTCCAAATTTTCTAAAAACTATTCAAATTTGAGCATTTTTTTGGAAATAGTAAATCTAATATGTACATCTAATAACAACATGATTCATCACCTTTTCAAGCTCTGCAGTCAATTTTTTGAAATTTGATTGAAATAAATGTAGCAAAAATTACATTTCATTAGGGAATATATGAGTTTCTCTGGAAACAGGCTGATAAATTTTAAATTTTGTCCAATCAACATGAATGCATTGAGAAATTTGGATTGATTTTCTGGTAGAATCTGGAACAATTCAACCATGTATAAATGGATCATGTAATCATCATGAAATGTTAGTGTTAGAGTTCAAAAGAAACAGAATGAGTGGAAATCAAACACAATCTGAATAATTTTAAACGTATACAATCTTTAAGTTTGTATTTTGAATTCTACATATATGATTGTGTAATTTGTTCTTTCAAATTTTCGGATTCAGGCATGATTTGATAAAATTCATTCCCAAAAACGTCAATTAACAATTAAATTTAGTGTATTTTAAATATATATACGTATTATATTTTATAAATTATATTAAATTCGCAAAATTTTAAGTTTTAAACAAAAATAAAAAATGTTCAAAATATGAAATTATGCATAGGATATTAAAATTTACATGTTAGCAATTTTTTTGAATTGCTTTCAATTTTCATATTGAAATTTTTAAGATTTTTTTCTGAAATAATAAGCAAGAATATCAACCTAAATAATATTAAATTCATGCGTTAATTTCCCCTCAAAAGTCATTGACCGCCTCTCAATCTAGATTTTGTGAGTACTTTAGTATTTTGTGAAAATTAATCATAAGTTGTTATGAATTAAAGGTTTATCATAATCAAACATGGTAATTCCTAAGGAAATTATTCGTTGAGAAAAATATCAAAACAAATGAAATTACATAATGCGAAACAAATTTAAATTGTGAGTGTATTTATTATAGATATATCTAAGAGAACATTATGCCCACCGAAAAATATCGAAAAAAGAAATAGCTCCGGATGGGAAAAAGATATCTTCAATTAAATTTCAAATCAAAATTACATGTGTTTATTTAAGGATGTCAATTTGGAAGAAAAGTGAGAAAATTCCTAAAATGCTAAAAATGAATTTTCCAAACGTACTTTTTTATCTCATTTTTTTGATTTTGAAAAAAATTTGGAGAGAAGAACTCTTCGTTTTTGAATTTTGTCACGATGGTTTTAAAGTATATTAGACACATGTATTGATATTACTATTTTTGTATATTTTGAGAGAAAATCCCCAAAAAGTAAGAAAATCTAAGACCGTTTGAGAAAATATATAAACTATTGAAAATTTGAATTAAACTTCTAATTTGGAAAAAAGAAATTTGGAAAGAAGAAAATTCAAAAATCGAGATTTAGACTCAGCATCAAATGGAGAACAAAATGTTTCTTCATATGAAGGAAAAAAATTTTCTTGAGAAGAAATAGAGTTTTTAAAATTTTATTGTATGTAATGAAATAAACAAATATTAAAATTATTTTTTGATAACAAGAAAATTCCCAACAGAAAATATTTGAGACAAAGAAAAAAAGAAAATTGAAAAATATTACTCTCCTTTACATTTCTTGAGATTTTCAATTTATTTTTATAAAATTGACAATTTTACACGTTTAGATGAAAATAAGTGATTTTGCTTGAAATAAAAATTATTGTTTGTTTACAGCTATCAAATAGATTTTTGCTATTTTGATTAAAATTTGTTAATCAAATTAATAATTTTTTTCTAAATATCTTAAATATCTGGATCACTCACTGATACGATGAATTAAACGATAAAAATAATACAAACTCAACTAAGTTTCCTGTCTTTCAACCAAAAAATATTATGCAATTTAAATTAAATTGTTTATTCAAATATAAAACAAAGATGAAATAATTACAGTTATCATAAACTTTATGAATAACTCTGTAATTGGTTCAGATTTTCGTAAAAATATTTTTATTAAAATCGATAAGAATATGTTTACCTACTATCACAACATATCGATAAACAAGAGTAGAGTGATTTTTATCATCGAAACTTTTTAAAAGCTGCAAGCTGGAAGTAAAAATCTTGTTTTTTTTCTGAGTTAGTTGTAGAACTATTGATTCCCGAGTTATCATTGTGATGTAGAAGGATGTCAATGTACTGACTGAAGGATATGAAGTGAATTGAATTTCATTGAATTTCAATTTGATCAAATTTGTTGAAATTATATGAATGTGTCAACATCTGTATCACTCTCCTTCACTTCTTCCCTATTTTTTCGAGAACGAAGCTAGCTCAGCTTTCGCTGAGCGAATTGACACTTTTGATGCCCTAAACGTACATACTCTCAAATTTATTGAAAAAAATTATACCACCTAAGCTCGTATATTCTTATTTTAAATATGATATTATCCTTAGATTCCACACTAGAATATATTTAAATCAACTTTTAAAAAGTTCGAATCCTGCGCGTCTCACTTTTTAAATTTTCCAAATGGAAAATTTTATTCTCCTAAAACGAAAACAATTTTCCGAATTGACATCCTTAGTTTATTTTTAAAACGCCCTTTTGATGTTAATTTTCGAGGATTGCAAAAATTCTCCACATTTTTTCATATAACTCTAAAAACAGAACTAAATACTACGCCTAATGATGGATAAAAGTGAATCTCTCATTTTTGAATTTATCCGAGAAAGTCCTAACGTCCGGTGATATAAGATTTTATTTTTATTGCAAAATATTTCATAGAATGATGTGATAAATCTAATTCTTAACTTTGGATAAATTAAATGAATTCGTTAATTTTACATTTTGCATTGAAAATATTCATTCACAAATTCACGGAAAATTTAATAATTGTATATACTCATCGTTTTTGAAATACAGTTGATTTATGTTTGTGGTATCTTATGTAGATTAAGATGTACGGAAATATTTTTCCGAGAAAAGCATTCTGAACTTTACATTTTTTTATGCAAATGATAGATGGCATCCCAATAGATAATGAATTTGTTTTTTACATAAATGGTCAAAATTGAATTATAAAAATTTCCTTCAAATGTCCGAGGAATAAAAAGTTCGAAGGGAAATGACTCTATTCAATTTATTGCCATAAAAAAGATAAAAAGGATAAATCCATCTATGCAATGTAATAAGCAAGATTTACCTACCTAAACTTTTAATTTTTTCTACACAGTGGTCCTTCTTTTTTCAATAGAATTATGTAAAGATTTTTGAGAAGATCAAGTTTATGCAACGCTTAGAAAGATTTTTATGATGATGTTAGCAATAGCATTATCCTATAATTATTTTTCAATATATTCAAATTTATTTATGCTCTTCAATATTTGAATCAATTGCTGTTTTCTTTCAATTTTTTTATTTTTTTCAGTAATATGGCTGACGTCCAATGCTGCTGTTCTCAAATTCGTATTCCCCAGCACGTCCATAAGTATAAAATCATTAAAAGACTAGGAAATGGATCGTTTGCCGTCGTGGTTCTTGGTAAAGACGAAAAAACAGGTGAACTTGTAGCCATCAAAATCCTTGATAGAAGTCAAGTGATGTCAAATGGGATCTTACAGTATGTCGAAAATGAGCTGAGACTTGCTAGCCGTTTTGATCACCCGAACGTTGTTAAGGTTTATGATATTATTTACGAGGAAGACATCATTATGATCATTATGGAATATCTTCCTAATGGGGACCTTCAAACAGTCCTTACAAATAATACAATTTTCACCTATAACGAGCAAGTCAGAATAACTCACGGAATAATCAATGGATTGTGCTATCTACATCAAAGAAATGTGGCCCATAGAGATATAAAGCCAGAAAACATTCTTTTTGATGCACATTTCAATCCAAAATTAATCGACTTCGGTTTATCAAGAGAAACGAAGAGTTCCCTCTCAACATTTTGTGGAACGCCATGCTACCTTGCTCCAGAGATCATTTTAGACAATAAATACAACCCCTTCAAATCGGACGTTTGGGCGTTAGGTTTGACTATTCACATACTTACAAACCTTTGCTTCCCATTCAGATATGAAGGTGAAGCTGAGTACCTTAAGAGTATTAAAAATAAAACTCTTACAATTCGTAACCAGTCACATGGAATCCTCGGAGAGATTATTTCAATGTGCCTTGTTGAATATCCCAACCGAAGAGCTTCGGCCTCCCAGATATTAGACTATATAGCCAAGAATGATACAGGCAACTTCAAAATTAGTCAATCACAGGTTGATAAAAAACTTCCTGTATTAACGATGCCAAGACTCGCTGCACGTAACTATACACCGGTGGTTAAGGTATCATCCCTCAAAGGAAGCCATGTCTTCAAAATAACTAGAAGCCCTCTCAGGGTTTAATTTTGTTCACTCTATTTATTATTTTCACCTAAAGTATATTTTCTATCCCTAATTAGTCCCATTTTTCCTTCTTTTTCACATTATTCAACGAAAATCGAAAACAATAGATTTGATATATCGCAAAATAGGTTAAAGAAATTAGGTAATTATTACAAATAAACCTTATAGTTCTAGTTTATTTAAACTGTGAGGTTCATGACGGCTGTAACCATATCGTTGTTGTTATCCTTGAGAGCCTTGATAGCCTTGGCACGGGAAACGTTAGCCTGTTGCATGACCATGTTGATATCGTTCTCATCGAGGCCTGTAGCATCTGGAGCCTCTTCATCTTCGTTCTCAACAACAACTGGAGCTTGTTCAGCAGCCTTGCCAGCAGCATCAGAGATGGACTGGGAAGCAGCGGAAGCAGCATCGGATCTGTTGTTCTCACCGAAGACGATGTAGACGTTGTCGAGGTAGAAAACGTCTGGCTGGGAGAAGGAGAAGACCATCTGGTTGCCAGCGCGCATTGTGACTGTTGTGACGTTCTCGAGTTCCTTAAGGTTGTGCTTGAGGAGGGCATCACGCATCTTCTTCTCAGCACGGTTGATCTTACGTGGCTGCTTTGGTGGGAGTTCCTCTGTCTTTGTCTCTTCCTTCTTCTCCTCAACTGGAGCCTGAGCCTGAGCTTCTTCAGCAGACATCTTTAGCTAAGTGGTTAGACCACAAGTTTACAAATGGTCTCAAAATAAATCATAAGCCGATTTAGCAAATTAACAATTGAAAGGGAGAAGGGTAAGATGTGAGGTGAATGAAAAATATATTTAATTGGAAAGATTTAGGAAAATTTAGAATATCAAAAGTGAAATTTGTGTGTAGAGACAGAATTTTCTAGGAATATGTAACTTATGGCAGAAAATTATTCATTGGCTTATTTATCATTGACTAAATCTATCTCAAATATTTTCCTTGATTATTATGATTTCCACTTCAATAAATATAATTCGATGAATTCGAACAAGGTTTCGTAGCTCAGTAGGTAGAGCGTAGTGCTGATAACGCTAAGGTCTTGGGTTCGAGCCCCAGCGGAACCATTTTTGCAAAATTTGACATCATTGGCAATTTTTTTCCAAAAAAAATGAAAAGGATGTCAGAGATACTATGGAAAAATAATCATGAAGGCGATATAACTGCCTTCGAAGATTTCTTTTATGATAATATAAATCTTGTTACCTCTTTGAAGTTAGTTCAGCAATTTGGCGGTCATAAATCCTTCGTTCCTACTGCCTCTATAAATTCTTATGGAGATAAACTAATCACAAGTTGTGATCTTGGTTTTATATTACTTTGGGATATTGGGACTCGACTCTCCAAACCTCAATCAATTATAAAACCGAATTGTCAAAGAATTTTAACTACTAATTTCCTATCATCCAATAAATTTATTGCAGGTGGTAATGATGCAACTGTTCAACTCATTGAATTAAATCAAACAGGCATTGTTAGTACTTTATATGAAAATCATCATAAAGGAAAAGTGATTTCATCAATTATTATTGATCCTAATACATTTATTACATGTTCAGATGATAATTCTCTTCATTTATTTGATATCAGACAAAATTACCCTTCATCTTCTTTTATTGACGTTCCACTTGTTCCAGAATCATACATAGATGTTGTACGAAAGGAAGTAGAATCCCGTAAAGATCCTCCAACTGTTATACCAAAAATAACTCCAAATCAAGAAATTCATACTGAATCATTGCTTCTAAACTACTCAGAAGGTGATCCACACATTCTATCTATGGATGTCCATCCAATAGATAAGAAACGATTTGCTGTTTCAAGAGATGACGGAACAATTATTTTATTAGACCTCAGAAAAATGGATCCTTCAAAACAATACGGATTTTCAGTTAGAGAAGCTTATAACAAACAAGTTGGTATCTCTCATCTTGCTTTTGATGAATACGGAGAGCGAATTGCCGCATCAGTTCATGGAGGATCAGTTCATCTCTTCGAAACATCCGAAAACTACGAAATTTTTCCATCAAAAATAGAAAACAAAGATGATTTATCTGACAAGAAATATAACATTAGAATTTCTGATTACGTATCTGATGACGGCAACATTGACTTAGTTAATCTTCGCGAGGCCATCAAAAACAGACCAGAAATGCCTCAACCACATAAAAAAGAAACAGTCAAGGAAGCTCCAGGATGTATAAAAGTTCTTAATTCTCATATTTGTTTGGATTCTCCTTCCCCTGTCAGATGGTTTGGTAATTTCGTGGCAACAGGAAGCGATGATGCTTTGGTGTATTTGTATGATGCGAATGATGGAAATGTTAAGAAAGTTTTGAGTGGACATCACGGACATGTCGAATCAATTATCTCTCACAGGGAAAAGAAATTCCTTGTCACGTGTGGAATGGATGATTTCGCACAGATGTGGTCTCCTATGGCTTGTACTGATATAGATATTGCTGCAAATGAAATGGAAGTAAGAGAGGCTTTGCAGAAAAATAAATCAGATGAAGGATATATGAATGCTAATCAATGCAATGTTATGTAAGTAAAAATAATGTTTGTTTGATACTCATTTCGAAAAAAATAACTTAATTTTTACTGTTTTTTTAATAAATAAATCATGATTAATTGTTTTATTTTGGATGTTTATTCCTGAGATTCATAATTATGTGTTTAATAAACCAATGAAAACAGTATCTCTCTTTATTTTAAGATTATTGCATTAAAGTGTTGAGAAAATATTTCAAATTTATATCTTATCTATGAGTTTAAACAATAATTTCAAAAACATATAATCTTTACCTCATATATATATTGCATGTAATTTATTATAAAAGGTGTTTTTAGAGGAATAAATTGAAAACTGGAAAATCATAATGAATAATATACCATTATGTAGTTTTGATGTGCAAGTTCATATTGTTAGTATAGGGTAAGATAGGGAAGTGGTTATGAAAAATTTAAATTTATATTTTCAAAATTATTATGGATAATTTAATGAATTATGAAACTATAAAGCATAGAATTATTATTTATGAGCTCATAGCGTAGATTCATTATCATATAGAGGTATTTTATTTGATTTATTGAAAAAAGTTTGTAATTTGAAGAGTATGGTTAACAATTTAGTAAATTTCATGAATCTGTAGGATCTGGCTGTATACTCCTAAGTTATTAGAAGTTTAGGTTGTTCTAACTAAGTTAGTTGATAAGATATGAGGGGAACGAACGACAGCTGTACCTAATTTTTTTGGCTGATAATTTCTTGGAACGATCGAACCTGGTTGGAGTTCGACTGTATCATTGAGAACGAGATTACCGAATTGATCAAGGCTCATTAATGTTCCTTCCAATTCTCTGTTATTTTCGAGCTTAATGAAAACCTTGTGGCCGATCATTTCGCGAAGATTCATATAATATGGATCGTGGTCGTTGAATGGGAATTTGTCCATTTAATGTCACCTTTTTAGTAATTGACACTTTTTTGTTGAAGAAAAAAATGTGACAGGATAATGAAAACTTTTGGAGAGCTTGTTACGCAAATCAAGCGCGGTCTTATAGAACTTTGTGATGATTTAAATGGTCCAGGTGCTGCACAAGCTCTTGGTCCAGCACATGCTTACGGAAAGAGTTTCTTAATCCTTCAATCAGTTAGAACTCTCCAAGAAGCAATCCAGAAACAAGAAACTCATCTTAAAGCATTAGTTGGAAAGGAAGGTGCTCCAGGAAGTGCATCTCAATCAAATGATACAAAGACATGGAGAGTTGTTGATTCTATTTATCAATCACTCTCTTTAATCGATCGTTATAGACAAGATCCTTCTAGATATACTCATCACGGTATTGCAGAATGGCTTAAACAAGAAGCAACTAACAGTGGACTAAGTTCAGACATTTTACCAGGTCCAAATGGAAAAGATGAACTTAATATCAGTGGCAATGGATTTCTTTTAGAACTTCTCGTTGAAAACCAAGAAAAAATCAGCTCAGCAAGATTAACTCTTTCATATGGAGGAAGAAATGACGTTTATGATCTTCCAGAGATTGTAGAATTTTTTGATAATGATAATCGCTCGCACATGTCACATCTTTTCTCCATTGCAGCAAGATTAGATTCAATTGAAAAAGAATCTCATGAATCACATGCGACACCAATACAGTTATTTACTATTCCTAACTGCCCAATTGATTTTAAAATGTCATTAGGCGGTTTACACTTCCCATTTGCTGATAAATTCGAAGCATTGTTAACTTATGACTATTTTGAGCAAAACCATCATATGCCAATGATCGTTGTTGACCCACCAATCATATTCCCTGTCTCACAATTGAAAGATATCCAAGATAAGTGTGGAATCAGATTTAATATCGAATTTTTGGTTTCATCTACGATATCTCAGATGATACAATTGAAGTCCGATGTATACGGAACCGTTGGTGGCAAGACTGTCCGCTTAATCCTCAATGATAACGAATCAAGAAATGGAAATTGCGTACATTCCGTTAAATTGGCCAGATTACCACTCGGCAGACCTGAGTCGTTCCCAGAGATTATCTCAATCCTCAAGAAAGCCGCTCTTTGGTGCTCAATCATAATTGAGGCTTTTTCACAGACAGAAGAAGACGTTAAGACAAATACTATGGTCGATATCGCTCCAATGAGTGATTTCTCTTTGGCCGCAAACTACTGGGTTGGTGATAGACCAGCTCATATCCGCATTCGCGTTTCCCAGGACGGAGCATTAGATACAGACAATGACCAGATTAATTCCCTGCTTACTCCTGATGCTACATTCCCCGATATTATTTCTGCTATTATTCAATAAAATTTTTTTATCTTGTATTATGGGATTTGATAGAACTTATTTTATCTCCTTTTTATTAATTTTTTCTAGATTTGAAATTATTTTATGGTTTGGTTCATCAGTAATTTTAGAATTTTTCCAAAAAGATTTAGTTTTCATGATGATTTGATGATGAATCCATCGACTATTCATAATTTGGCATGTTATCCCGTTTTGATTCAAAGGTGTGACAATTTCATATAGATTTGTTTACAAAAATTATTTAATTCGTGTTTATCTCTAGATATTTAACTACATTACCCGAATACCATGCATTCATCTCTCAAATTCATTGTAGAGGCACCTCTGATAAAAAAAACTTATTACAAATTACTAAATGCTTGGGAAAAAGTATAGATCATCCTCATATATGTAGGAAATATGGAATTTCTCATAAAATATATCATTGTATATAATACATTTTCAATAAGAATATTAAAATGCATATTGAATTATAAGCTCTATTATATCTACTAACAGACTATTCTCTATCATGACTAACAAACTTGAATATAGTTATTACTTTGATGCTCTTACATTTTCATGCAATAACAGGAGATAATTATCGCAAATTGCGTCAAGATGTTTGCCTGGATGAGAAAGCCAAAATCCGTAAATAACACAAAAAAGAAATGCTATGAGATGAGTTTGAAATGCGATTAAAGAATATGAACCAAAAGTGACAATTTTTCATGAATAAACTTGCATTTTTCCCTTCTGAATTTGGCAATGATGCTACGTTAATAACTTTACCACATCCAAGAAATGGCCAATCCAATGATTTCATATTAAAAGATGGAAAATTGTTTGAAATTCAGTTGGTTGATAGAGAATATTGCTCATTTTTCATGGACAATTATGCAGTTGCTGATGGATCAGCTTTGTTCGCATACCAAGTTCATCCAGTTTTCTTAGTTCTTCCTTATATGTTCAAGCAAAAGAGCGAGTATACTCCAAAGAAAGATTTCTTCTTCAATTCTCCATTCAAGCAAATAGAAGACCTTGTATTTCCTTATTTTGGTCAGATTTGCACTGAATTACCATTTGATGATACATTTGCTTATGCATTAGACCAAAAGAAAATGCTTAAATGGCTTGTTGGTAGATGTGAAAAAATCATGCCAATTCTTAGAAAGAAAAACTCACTTCCTGACAATCAACTCATAGAAATCGCCTGGGGAGTTGTTCGCCATTATTTACCACAAGATATTACGCAATTACTCAAAGAAGAGCTCCAAAAAGCATATGAAGGCTCATTTCCAGTGAAAAAACTGGAAGATGTTTTGACACCCAATTTACCACAGTCAGAAGCTGTCGACGATGTAAAGAAGAAGACTCCTCCGAAGTCTAAGAAGGCTGACTTAAAATCAAGGCCAAAAGGAGTTGCTGATATTGCATCTTTCTTCAAAAAATAATGTAGATGTATTTCCTATGTTGTTTATTGTTGTGATTTTTAATTTAATAAAAAATAGAAGTATTTCAACCTCAATATTAAAACAAATATTTTGATTCTGTACTTAAATCAACAAATTCCAGTATGAACAGCAATCCGTGTTTGTTTTATCTATAGTCAAACCAGCTTTTATTGAACCAGTCATTCAAATATTTCAGTGTGTACAGCAATCAATAATTGTTGATTCTATAGCCAAAACAGCAATCTCTTTTGTCTCAAAAATCAATAGTATTTGGGAATGTAAATGAAATCACTCATTTTCATTATGAATAATATGAAAAGTGTACGTTTAGAAATAGTTGAGATCTACGAATTTGTATGAAATCATCGCCGCTAATGGATTTCAGTAATCAAGATTCATATTTAACTAGATCTCTGTTATTCATATGCGAAAAAAATGCTATCAAATTACCACAATTTCCCAAACGAGATCAAATTATTCAAGCAATACACACTCAACAGCAAATTAATGATATTAAAATTCGTGAAATTGAAGCACAGAAGCAGAAAAAATCACCCTTTATTGTTAAAAAGCAAGAATTTTCTACCCCGATTATACCTTTAAATCTAAAATCTGCTAGTGAAGACTCATTTCCAACTCCGATAGTTATGTCTAGGCGAGTAAAGTCAGAAATGCCTGATGGAAGTAATTTCGTACTCAATCCTATTCCCTCAAATATGCATATATCTCCAAGGAGTCCCCAAAATATTCAAGGAAATCCCAAATCAAATAGTCAGGAATTTACAATTATAATGAGTTTAGGAATTATCCTATTGATAATCTTATTTATTTTCTTTCTCTTTGTATTATAAAATGTTTTTATTATAGTTTAATTAGTTATTAGTTTATGAATCATTTCAATAGTTCGACATTTGTCGAAATGAAATTTCTTAATTCCATTTGTTCTAGTGGTTAAAAATGCTACCACATGCCTACTTGTTGATAGAAATTACAATGCGAAATATAATTTAGTCATAAATTGATTGAACAAAAATGCCAGAAAATCATAAAAAGTAAAATTCATATTTTAAGAGAAATTAAAGTGTTGTAGATTGTTTTTCTAATCTTCTTTTTTTTTCCAACAATTTTCTAATCAGACCTGTTCAATGGTAAACGTGAAAGTGTGCTTTGTTGGATCCTCGGGAGTAGGAAAAACATGCCTGATTAATAGAACTGTGAATAATAGTTATCTTGACACTCCTAGCTCCACAGTCGGAGCGTCTTATATGAAAAAAGAAGTTGAAGTGGATGGCAAGCAAATCACACTTGATTTATGGGATACTGCTGGCCAAGAACGTTATAGGGCACTGGCACCATCGTTTTTCCGTGGTTCAAGTGTTATTGTAATTGTTTATTCAATCATAGATGCTACTTCTTTTGATGATCTTAGAGATTGGTATGAAAATATTCAAACAAACTGCAATCCAATTCCCAGAATCATTGTCGTTGGCAGTAAAGCAGACCTTCATGAAACCCGCTTAGTTCCATCACAACAAGCCGAAAATTTCGCCAAATCAATTAATGTCGATTACTTCGAAGTTTCTGCTTTAAGTGGTGCTGGAATCGAAGAATTAATGCTCAGCATTGCTACTCAATTAGACACATCTAAATCAGAACCCGAAACGCCATCTAAAATTGTCGTTGAAGAGAAACCAAAGAAAAAGAAGAGGTTTGGTTGCTTTTAATGAAATTATATCGATTTACGGAATTTTGCTTAATTGTCTTTCTAAATAAATAACCTTTATATCCACAATTTTGGTTTACTTGTAATCTCTTAAAAAAAGAATAAGAATATAAAGTAGTAGGATATGAAGGGTTGTGTGACTTTTTTTGTTACATCTATATATAGACGATGCATTAAAATATATTTATTTATAAATCATTAAAAAATTAACATTAATTTTAAAATAATTTATTTTTTTATCTTTTATAAAAGAAGCTATATATAGATGATGTCAGATATTCCACGATTAATTAAACATTGTTTAAATCCTGAATGGGTTAAACTTCAATTTAAAAATGAAGATTGTGAATTATTAAATGAATATGAAAGCCAAAATAAGCTAATGAGGTATAAATATAATGATAAAGAATATTTAATTTCATGGAATCAATGGAGTCATAATCAAAGACCTCATAAACGAGAAGAAGAAATTGAAAATAATGAAATGGAAATCATTGATGACATTAAAGAGGATGGAATTCCTAAATTTTGTAGAAAAACTTTAGAACTAAGTTAGGAGCATATAAACGTAGAGTATTAAATCCTGAATATCTTAAACATCAATTTAAAAAGGAAGACTGTGAATTATTAAACGCTAATGAATATGAAAATGCTAAATCAAAACTGAGATATAAATATATTGGAAGTGATGAAAGGTGTAAAGATAAAGATAAAGTTTATTCAGTTTCATATAATAACTGGCACACGTTAGGGATAAGAAAACGTTTAGGAGATTATGGTAAAAGTTCTGAATTCTTTAAATCTAGTATATATGAGAGAGTAAAAGAAATTAGAAATAATTATTTTCATGAATAAAAAATAAACTTTAAAAATTCATGTCTTACGAAAAATTAAAACTTAGTTATGTTTATTATTTTATTTTTTTATTTTGTATGAAATGAGCGTCAAAACTAACAACGTTAAAAAATTAGGATTCACAAACGAGGAAATAAAGGATATATTAGAGGAGGTGGGTTATGAAGTTGATAAATATTATTTAAGAAATTGTAAAAAATTCGCGGAGTTATTAAATGATTTAGATTATGATGGAAAAATGAATAAAGATGATGTTATAAATTTCTTATATCCCACATCTGAAGAAGAAAAACCTAAAGAACCTGATGTTTTCCCTGAATATTATGAAGAACGGATTAAAGATGATGAATACAATGAAATTGAAAGACTGAAAAAAATAAGAGATGAAATAGATGAAAAAATTAAGGAATTAAGAGAAGTTGAAAAATATAATGAAAATGAAGTAGAGGGTTTAATGAATATCCCAGCTTCAGAATCAGAAGTACAGAAATCTCATGAAGAAAGATATAAAAATTATGTCTCAGAATCAACACAAAATTTATTAGATGGTGAAATAGACGAAACACTTTCAGAAGAAGGTACTAAATTTATTCGTAAACATAAGTTACAATTTATTGATAATGAAGAATACCCTTGTATCCTACTTTCACCACCTTTAGATTCCGAAAAATTCAAAAAAGCTCTTAAAAACGTGACATATGCAACTAATACGATTAAGAAAGAAGATCATGATATTTACACAAATTATTATTTAAATAAATGCACAGGTGTTGATAAAGTTTTTGATTTATTAGATAAAATATCAAAAGAAACCATTGGAACCTATAAAATTTTGTGTGATTGTGGTTTCATTATTGAAGATACCAATAATGTTTCATATGAAAGAACAGCACCGAAGGAAGACGAAGTGGAAAGGTCTATACCATTCGTTATTAAGAATATAAAAGATATGAAAATGTATAAGCATTATATTTATTCATTTTTTCAGAAAAATGGAAGCAACCCATAAAACATCTTCTCATCATTTATAACTATTCATACATTCCTTTTCAAAGTTGTGAAATTAAATAAGACAGGAATTAGATTTAATGTATCAGGGTACGCATTCTTGAGTAAATTAAATGTATTCGTCACGTCGCAGATGATAAAAATTTATGTGTTCTTAATTCATTTTATGGGCTTTAAAAAATAAACTTTATTTTTTTATTTATTTTTTAATTTTTTATTCTTACATAAATGAACAAAAACGGAACCGCTAAAATGAATGATAATCAAATTAGAGCAGAAGGTAGAGGTTATTTAAACGCTTCTATAACATTCCTGATGGTGCTAATCCTAAAACTCGTAGAAGCTATTTAAATGAAGCAATAGATGCATATGAAGGGTTTGACATTTCATCAGAAAGTGAGAGATTAGCGAGAATGTTAAATGTTAATATTGATTTCTATTTGTGATCCTCAACCAGAAGACGTGGACATAAATAAGGTAGACTTTCCATTAGTGGAATCAATAATGATAGATCCAGAATTTGTGAAACAGTAAATATTTTATTAACACAGAGTCCATGTGGAAAACTTCACGCTGACAGAATAACAGACGTAGAAGCACTCACCGGCTATAAAGTTTGTCCATATTGTAAAGAAGAAGTTTATTCTATCCGTGATGACCCAGAAAGGAAAAAAAAGAAGATTTTTAAAGCATTGTGAGAAATGTAAAGAAATAATGGAAGATTAATTCAAGACGTTCAGTTGCAAAGACACAGCAACCATATGCACCACATATTACGAAACAGAAGATATATCATGGTTATTAGCTCACAATTTGCAGAAATATTATAAACCGACAAGATATTATATTACTTTTGACTTTGAAACATTAGAGACTAAAGAAGAATTACAACTTTGAGTGTGCAACTTTGAATGCTTACTTAAAACCATTCATGGTATCATCAACGGTTAAATTAAACGATAAAACATATACGAGGAATTTTTGCTTAACTTCGAGTGATTCTTTTATTTCTGATTGGATTGAGTTTTTATTTTCAACCTGTTCATTAGTTGTTGAATCAAATATGAGTCAATACAATGAATTATTGAAGTCGCAAACGGCGGGGACTTTGTCTCATACATTAAATGAAAAACAGAAGGAAGCATTTAAAGAACTTCTAGATGAGGAATTCAATAAAGTGAATATCATAGGTTTTAATTCGGGAAAGTTTGATTTAAATTTAATTCTTCGTGATTTAAACACTGCAAAATGGAAAATAAAATCAATGCTGGGTTCATCTTCACAATTTAAGCAAATCATTGTAAAGAAAACAAACGTTCCATATGAATTGAGATTTATTGACATCAGAAATTATATAGCGGGTGGGACATTAGACCAATTCACTCAAGATTTCGGAAACAATAAATCACGTGTTAAATCCTTTTTCCCTTATCAATTCATCACATGGGAAAATTACGAAGAAGAATTATATAAAGAGGAACCATTCACGAAAGATTCATTTTATTCAGCATTAACCAAGAAACTATATCAGATAGTGATTATCAAATATATCTCAATGATGCTAAAAATTTTAAGAATAGATTAGAATATTTTATTCATTATTGCAATAAAGATGTTGAAATTATGATTGACCCAATCGATAAAATTATTGAAGAAACATTTGTTTATAAAATTGACACGCTTCATAATCTTTCTTTATCATCGAATGCTTCAATGATTCGTTACGCTTTAGCATATAAAGACTTTAATCCTAATGAAAAATATCCTGAGGAAGAGATAGAATCAAGTTTTGAATTAACGAAAAAGTATTGGAAATATAAAATTGAATCATATAAGAAACAAGATGAAAAAGCAGAAAGGGATACTAAAAATAATGTTTCAATGGATGATTTTCAATACTATCACGATTTAATCCTTTCATCTAAATGCAAAATGTGTGGTAAAGCGTTTACATATGCAAATAAACCAACATTGGATAGAATCGATAATGAAAAACCACATACCAAAGAAAATTGTCAGTTAATGTGTTGTTATTGCAATGTCGTAAAATCAAATAAAGATGAAGATGTTCAACGTTTAAGAATCAATTTAAGAAATTATGCATTAAAAAATAATTTACCAATGACTTTAGATTCAGTTGAAGCTTATCACATTCTCCGTAATGGAATTACTGGTGGTTTATCAAATGTTCAACATAGAGTAAATCTTAAAGGAATCACGCACATTAATAAACTTGCATATAATCCAGAAACTAAAACTGTATCAAATGAGGACACCACCAACATTATGACTCATTTCGTTGGTGTTGATTTTAATTCATTATATCCTTCATCATTTTCATCTAATCCTCATGATTTCATTCAATATACTGACCATAAAATGTATATGCCGGGAAGATTGAATGGTGTTATCATTTGTGATACAGCAACAAAGAAAGCAAAAGCACTGGGAATAATTAAGAAGAAAAATACTTTATTCGTGGCTGAAGTAAAGGGTCACATTGATGAAAAATACATTAATGATTACATAAACTTTTTACCGATAATAAGAAACTTAGATATTATCACAGATGAAAAAACAATTGGCAGTTTTATGTATAATTACATGAAATCAAACAATCTACCGGTTGACCAGAAACAGAGGAAATTAACTCAGTTAGCATCAACATACAACCAATATCAACCATTTTCTTCTTATTATCTTTGGTATCTAATAGACAGATTTCATTTTATCATTGATGACATTCAATCAATTTTAACATTTACTAAAAACACTTGTTTTAATGAATTTGCGAACAAATTTATGAACGAAAGACAAAAGGCTGAATTAGAAGGAAATAAAGGAAAAAGTTTATTTTGCAAGATTTCACTTAATGGATCATATGGTTACGATGCAATGAATACACAAAATTACGCAAAGACTAAAATAATGAATGCACAGAAGGCACGCGTTGCATGTATGTCAAATAAGTTTAAAAACATAAGAGAAATAGGTGAAGATACATATCAAGTGATGCTTAAAGATAGATTTTATAGATGTGATACATGTTTACAAGAGGCATTCTTCACTTTAGATAATGCTAAATACTGGTATTTGGTTTTCATTTATGATTTTATGTATAAATGCATGAATGTTAATCGTTTTCATTTCATTGAAGGTGATACTGATTCATCTTATTGGGCAATCGCTGGCGACCCAAATCTTCCTAACACTCAAGCATTTCAAGCAATTGTTACCGATAAACAATTTTATGATAAAAACATTTTCAAATTCGCACCATTTGATTTCTTCTGTTTTGATGAGAAATTTAAACCTAAATTAAAGAATAAAGCTGAAGAAAAAGCACATGAGAAGAAGTTATTGGGTTTAGCAATTGAGAAACAAGGTGATAACATGGTTGCTTTATGCCCTAAGTGTTATACATCATTCAACGGTTCAATTGATGGAAGTGATTTTAAAAAGATTGCACAAAAAATGAAAGGTGTTAGTTTACGACAAAATAAACAATTAACACCTAAAAATTATTTGGATATAATAAATGATAAAGTGATATTTGATGGTCAGAATATTAATTTACAACTTAAAAACGGGTCAATGACTCGCTTAACAATTGGTAAGACTGCATTAACAGGAGCACACACTAAGGCTGTATGTTGTGAAAATGGATGTTGTATGCCATTTATTTAATACAATTTAAAATTTTATTTTTAATAAAATGCCACAGAAGAGACAAAAGGAACCGTAAATAATGGTTTTGATACTATGATTCAAAGAGGTGGGCACCCTTAAACATTTATTTTATTTTTATAAATGGATAACACAGATTTAAAAAATTTAATTGATGATTTAGTACTTAATCAAAATTTTCTTAATTATTATGAATTAAAATCATATCTCCAAAAACATAATAACAATATAACGGGTGATGATATGGATTATTATTATCCATATTATAAAAATGAAATTTTGAAATATCATGATAAAATAATTTCTAAAATTAAAGACAAAATTAAAAATAATGAATATACAAAGGAAAAAACTAAATCACAACTTAAACAATTGAAAGATTTCAAAAATAAAGTATTAACAGAAGAAGATATTGATGAATTATATAAATTATATAATCATGAGCCGCAAAAAACAAAGGAACAAAAACAAAAGGTGCAAAACACCCAGGTCCTTCAGACCATAAATGAAGCACAAGCTTTAATTTATGATTCATTAGTTAAACATATTCAGCCCGACTTTTAAATGAAGATCAACTTTTGGAATTCATCCTTCAACATAAACTCGAAGCGGGAAAGTATATCAAACCTTTATATACAGCATATTTAAAACAAATGAATAGAATACATCCAGAATTAATGAAGGGGGGAATGAAATCCAAAATCAAAGCAGATAAAATTAAACCACTTGCAACACCAAAACCTCCAACGACAGTACCTCCTCCTCCTTCAGTTAATCCTTCATCATTCACTTTATTATATCCATTTCAAACATTAAAGAAGCAAAAAGATTTTAAAAAGGATTTCAAGATATTAAATAAACCAATTGACCCGAAAATTCAACCGTTAAAGGAAAAATTTAGTCGCCCTTCATTTGCTCCATATCCATATTCATACGAAATCGATCATCTGGAATATTCAAAAGGAAACGTTACTTATTTATTTGCCATTAACATTAACACTAGATATTTATATTGCATTCCAGTGAAAGGGAAAACAGAACAGGAAACAAGAAGAGCTATACAATACTTACTAGATCATGAAAGAGTAGATAATATCAGGGGTGATGGTGATAAAGGATTTCAGGCAGCTATGGCTCATTATTTCCCACAAATTAATTTTTTCTTTTCATCCTCTCCATATACGTTTCATAATAAAATAGTTGATGCGGTAATGAGAACTCTTAGAGATGCGTTAGGGGTTAACGGTCAGATATACTGGATGGAAATCATGACTCCATCATACAACAGTTAGTATATTATTACAATAATACATGGCATAGAACTATAAACATGAAACCAGTGGAAATGAAAAATGATATTTCAAAAGAATGGGAATATATTAGAAAGCAAATGGAAAGGTTGAATGATGTTAAACGTGAACAAATTAATTCGGGGCTCATGAATTTTAAACAAGGGGATAAAGTTTTGATTCATCTCGATTATGGAAAAACTGATAAATCAATGACAAAAAGAAGACGAAGATTTGACACAATAGCTGAATTTGTTAGATATATTAACGGCAATGCATTAGTTGAAGTTGACAATAAATTAATAGAAATTCCGATTTATTTTATTACTCCATTATATTTAAATAATATTTAATTTTTTTATTTCGTAAGAAATGAGTGACAACAAAGCAGCCAAGAGTCCAGACAATGAATATAAAAAGAAACTAAACAGAATTAAATCAAAAATATGCTATTACAAAAAGAAGCCGCAATGCGGTGGGGCTGAAAACGATAAAGAGAGGAAAGAAATAATCGAAAAATTAGAAACTTACCGTTCAATCCTTAAACTGAGTGAAACAAAAATAAAAGAATTTAATAGAATAAATAAATTGATTGGAAGAGATGAATTTAATAAAGATGAATTTTTAAACTCAATCCAAATTTAATTTTTATTCCTCTTCCCGAACCCTTCGAGGTTCTTCTTTCCATCATTACTGCATAACCGCATCTTCTCGGTTTTCGTGGTTTGTTGTTTTTAATTCGTTCTTGCATCATTTTTATCATTTCCTCTCTTGTTATGATTCGTGGTAAATTTTGAGCTTGTGGGGTATCCACTTATATAAAAATAAAATTTTGTTATCAGTTATTTCTGCAGTTCATCCATTACTTCATTACCTAATTAATTACAGACATAAAATATATTTAGTTCATTCGGTAAGCCTTGACCCAAAGGTCTGGGCTCAAGCACATTCAATGAACGCGGTACCATGCGAATATAGTCACAAATGGTGGCATGTAATCTTTACCCAAGCCTGTTGGATTTGTTGTGAAAGTGTGTGAATGATTTCCTCCTGGTTCAGTTGGTCGAAAAATCTTTTTTGCTGCATTGTTATAAGATGGAGATAAAACATCATTGCTATCTCTATATTCTGAGTTGTATAATGGGTGGTCTCTTAATGAGTGGCTATGGTCGCCAGAAAAGTTTGTAGTTCCTGTATGAGTGTGCGGTGGAAGGTTTGCTTCTTTAATTTTCTTCGAACCTCCTGTTTGCTTTGAATATCTAGCACAGTATAAGAATTTATCTACAATCTGCTTCCACGTACCAAAACCTAAAACTGTTGCTGGATTTGTTGAATTCATTGACGTATAAATAGAACCAACAGGATATAATGTTTGAAGTATTTCATTTTTCATGCTTGTAATCACATCATTTACTTCCGACTTCTTTGCATAATTTTCATCAACATAAGTTTTATCTGCTTTAAGGTCTAAACATCCTGAAACCCATCCTGTATCAGCTTTAACTTTAAAAGTCTCCGATGTCCATTCATGATACCATTCAACCTTTTCTTTAATTTCATTATCTTTTTCATCAACATAAACCAAATTTGCCTTCTTATTTAATTCACTATCCACATATTCCTTATCCGCCTTCTTCATTATGTCGTTTAGGAAACCTTCTATGAATTCCTCATTTAAATTAAATCTTCCAATCTTCAAAACTTTAGGAAATGCATTTAATGCGTAATATCTCTGTTCTTCTGGTGGAATTGATGTTATATCATCCGTTATACCTTTAATTTTAGAATTCATAAATAAAATTTCTTTTATATTTGATATCACTGCACCACCTTTGCAAACGAATTCGAAATGGTCATTTTTCAATACTATCTCCAAATCTCCATATTTCAACCTTTGCGTTTGTTCTGCCGTCTTTGAATTATATGCATATATGGCGTATGTAATGGTCTGAAGGACCTGGGCGCTTTGCGCCTTAAGTTGCTGTTGTTTAATCATTTATTATGATTTAAAAATAAATATTTAATCCGTTATCTCATCAGCTATTTTCTCTATTTGAAATTGCCATAATATTTCATTCATAAATTCTAAATCACAATCAAATAGGTCAGTTATTCTAAATTTAATATTTGATAAATCTTTTGAATGAAGAATAAATGAATTCCCGGATAATTGAAACGGATATGATAAAGAAAATGTGTTTAAGTTGATGGATAAAATGTTTTGTATTGATGGGTAAGAGTTAGGGTCTAATGTTTGATGTGAAAATCTCATTGGGGTATTAACTTTATCACATTTGATTAAAATGAAATTGGAACCAGTGTCAGAATACAAAACATCCCCAACATCTTTTTCAAAATTTAATATCCCCAACAATGAACGAAGATGAGGAGTACAAAATTTAATTTTCAGCGGGAATTTAATAAGGTTATTTATTTCATCAAGTTCAAAAAGTTTATCGGGTTTTGATTTAAAATTTTCTTCATACCATACGATAAATGATTCATTTAAATAACTTAAAATCATGTTAATATCCCATTTCGCTATCACATTATTTATATACATATCATACGTTTTTTCAAGGTCATCTTTAATAAATGATATATAATCTGAAGGGTCTAAAAGAATGGGATTAAATTTACCACTCACAGAAACGAGAGTAACATTATAAATTCCGCTAACTGTTAAATTTAATTCACAGCTATTATTCGAAATAATATTGATAATTGACATTTTTATTACGATTAAAAAATATGGTAAAGCGTTATTTTCCAGTGATAAATAAAACTAGAATAAGATTACCTCAAGAATTCATAAATTCAACGAATAAGAAATTCATTCATGTTATAAATTTTAGTGTTTTCAGAAAATATGAGTCAGTGTCATATTCATCAACAGGTTATATTTCACTTCATTCAAATTTAGTTCAATCAAACCCATATAATGACCATTTCATAAGATTTTCAGATGGTATTAAAAATGTAATTGATAGATTAAAATATGAACAGATTGACAATATCGAATTTTTGGAATTTTGGTTTAAATATCCCGATGGAAAAAAGATTGAAGTTAAAGATAAAGCTGATACTATAACAAAAACAATTACAATGACCGATCCGGATAGTGGGGAACAAAAAGAAATAAAACAAACGATAGAAACTGGTGAAAGGTCAATTATTATTGATTATGATTCAAAGGATTATTATTCGATAATGTTAATGCTTGAATATTAAATAGCCTTAACAAAGAATTTTTCAAGTGATATTTTATATTCATCAACTATTTTATTATAAATATCATTATATGTTAAATGAAGTTCAGTTGTTGTTCCGTTCTTTGATATCTTAATTGTGCTAATATCCTTTATAGGATTTATTTTTGCAACTGTTCCGCAGCATGAAACCTCATCATCTATGAAAAATTGAATCTTAACGTCTGAATCTTGAACATCACAAAGAATGGCGATAATGTGAATTAATGATTCATAAGGTAAAATAATTAAACCGGATTGGTCAATTAAATTTATTATTGAATCATAATTATTAATTATTATATCACGGTAAATTTTCATTAATTCAGAATTAATGTCTATTTTATATGGGTTCTCGATGTTTGATGAAAGAGGTGGGGGTATGTTGGATAAGTGGGAATTTCAACAGGTTCTTTACCGGGTTCAGATAAAATGATTGGGTCTCCATCTTCTTTATTTTGCTCCTCTCCTCTTTTTCGGTAAGTCACGAGTTAATAAATTTGGTTGAGTTGCTGACCTTGTTAATTCAGGGCTAACATTAACTTTAACATTTTGAATAATTCGTGATTTATCATCATTTACGTTATAACCAACCGTAATCTCTGCTTTTGCGTTAGTGTTCTTTTGACTAGTGAAACGTCTTCTCATTTATATTCGAATAAAAAAATATATTTAAACTTTTATTTTGCTGGAAGTTTTGAATCTATTATTCCCTGTATTTGTTCTTGAAGTTGATTTTTAGCTGGTTCATTGTAATTAATAGACCTAATATATTCATTAATTGCATTCTTATAATCATCTGATTTCTCAAATTTTCTTTTATCTGATTCCTTAACTAAATCATAAGTTAAACCTCGTTGCTGATATAATGGTTTCTTAATTAAATCTTTGAATGCTTGAGATAAAGCACCTGATGCAATTCTTGCTACTATAATTGGTTGGAATTGATGTTTAAGTTCATCTTTAACATTTGCGAAAACTGGATCGAATAAAGCAACTTTAAAGAATTTCTTAGCTGAAATTTCAGGTCTAATATTTGCATATTGACCATCAAACTGGTTAGAATATCGTGGTAATCCATCCGGTCCCTCTTCAATAGCATTTAATTCTTCATTGAAATAAGAATATGGATTATAACGGTATGAATTAATTGGACCATTTTCACCTTCTCCAATGTATTGTTTAACAGCTTTTCCATTTTCATCAAATTGCATAGGATAACGTTCATTATATGCTTTACGTTTAGGATAATCAGTTATAGTTAATTTGTAACCATTTATGACTTTAATATTACCTTGACCATCAGTAACGAAAACTTCATTTATACCATCAGGTTTTCCATTTGGACCCGTAATGTCTGCTTCGTGTGCTTCCCAATTTGGACCTTGACGTTTGGCATATGCTTGAGCTTCTGGTAATGTTAAAACGTTTCTCATTTGTTTAACATCTTTTTGAAGACCAGCAACAATATGAACTAATTCTTTCATTCCATCAGGAACTTTCATAGTTCTATTATATGCACCCTTTTTGTTTGTTCCTTGTTTTAATGGAACCTGTAGAAGATTTGCCATTTCTGTCATGTTTAATTATAAATAAAAAATAAAAATTAATTATAAAAAGTTAATCAAATTTAACACTTCCTTTATTTAATCAACTAAATACTATTATTTTTCCATGTTCACCTAATTGCTGATATTGTGTGTAAAGTTCATTAATGCTCATTGGTAAATTCACTTGATAAAGCATAACGTTCAACTGTTGACGACTAAACCCACTGAAAATGAAAAGTGTTGATAGATTTGATTTAATGTTTGTGCTTAATGCTTTGAAATATTGAACAGCCATAAAGAATGAACACTGAATGTGTCGACATTGAGTTAATAACTGATTAAAATATGATTTCTCATTTGTTATTAGTTTTGATTTCACTGCATCATCTAGAAAAATGAGTGAATGCAAAAATTCTCTATCAAAATTTGAAATAGAAAGTGTTTCAAATAATTCATCCCGTTGTTTATCAATAATTTTATCCTCTAATCCTTGCTTCTTGATTGTATTATATAATTCTTTATACATTAAAAAGTTTTTTAAATAATCTTCTGCTTCTTCTTGTGATAAATAAATAATTGGAATTTTGATTAAATGCTTTAAAGATTCAAATGTATCATCTGAAGGTGAACCTGAACGGTTGATATAAATTAACACATGTGAATAGGGGGAAGTGTTAGCAATAATGATAATTTGTTTAATATCGTTAATGTTTTACCTTTATTCTGTTTACCAATTGCTGCAGTGATTGAATTTAAGTAACATTCAGAATATGGAATTTTCATTAATTTTTCCTTAGATAGAGCATTTCTATTATCACTCAATGCTTCATTAATCATATCATCTACGTATGTATTATATACTCCCGCTAATTCTTCATAAGGGGTGGATGAATTTAAATCCATTTAATCAAAAATAAATTTATAATTTTAAACATTTCTATTCATCAATATTTCATCATATGAACTTCTATACTGTGGTGGTGTACCTGTTGGATGATATTTCAAACCTTCGTCCGGTGTCCATGTCCAATATGTAGTCCTAGTAAACCAAACCTGAGGAGGATTTGTCACCTTTGAACAGTAAGTGTCATTTTCACCCTGAATGATTGGATAAGCTTTCACTTGTACTGTAACTTGTGAGTTGAAAGTTTCTAATCCATCAAAGAATATACCCGCTCCATCACGTTGAACTGGAATAGTGCATAAGAATGAAGTTTGGTCTTTCCATGTTCTAGCTAATGGCGTGCCATTCATCATCATTCAGTGGTCTAGTTAATGAGTCCTCGTATTCTTCTGTGCATTCATTCACTCCATCTAAATCAGAAGCTTGAAGCATACGTGTAAAGAATATGTCACCCACTGTGGTCATCGCTTGATCGGGGAAGTTTCTGGAATCTATAGTGACCTGAAGACCTCGAAGCATTGGATTTTCTAAAACTGTTCTTTGCATTGCATTCTTCGGAAATGCTAACACAACATCTGTAACATTATGAAGAGCGTATGAGAAATCTGAGCTAATACCTTCAGGAGTGATGCAACCTCCATTTAGTGAACGAACGTCAATATGTTGAGCTGGAATCATGAATGGATCTTCCTTACTAAATAAACGTGGTATTGCTTTAACTGATTCTTCAATTAAACCGTATCCTGGTGTAATGCATTTATCCTCTAAAACTTCCATCTTTGTGCATGAAATAATAACGTCATCAACTGTTGCGTCAGCAGATGTAGCGGCTAAGCTTGTAATTAATTTGGTAGGAAGTCCGATTTGTTGGAATTTGCGATCATATTTATAAACATGATTCATAATCTTTTCATAATTTTCATCAGTTATCTTTTCATAAACGTAATTTTGTAAATCAGCAACTCTTAACGGGTCAACCTGACAAAATACTAAAGTATCCCTGAAAACATAATATTTAAGAATGATTCACCAAATGATTTAGGATAATCATCGAACGCCTGAAATGCTAACAAATCATTTACCGGAATAATCATATCAAAAGTGACATCAACTTCTTCATTTGCTTTCTTGAAAACTTCTGAAGGGTCAATATATTTACCACATACTGAGTTATCATATTTTTGAACATTATTATATAACGAATGAACAAACTTTTTAACTTTCCTTTCTGATTTTGGTTTATATGTTGCAAATGCGAAAGATTCACGGGCGCAATCCATCTGAAGATAACCGGCATCACCTCTTTCGGTTTCTACTTCTAATTGTTTAAAGCTTTGATTTGATGATTTGTAACCAACGAATAAACGCATGCATTTAAAAGCGGCATCACATGTGAAAGCTTTATTTGAAACTAGAGTTGCTTTAACTTTGCGTTTAATATATGTGTCACCTAATTGGTTCACATCATGAGCCGGATTTGTAATTCTTAAATGAGTTTGTTTATCATCAAAATATGGAGCATCAGAGTCATAGCATGAACTTTCAAGTTCTCTATAATATCTTCTACCGTCATTCTTTGCGAATATTTCATTTATCTTTTCGAATGAATGAAACACATTTCCATTAATCGGTTTAGTGTTTGGCACCAAATAGTTAGTCGTCATTTATTAATAAATAAAAAATCAAAATTAAAAGATGAAAATGAATTTTTAATTTTAATGAAATAATCAACTATGGCTGCAGGTATATTTAAGAAACTGTGGGATAAAGTAAAAAGAGGAGCGAGTAAAGTTTGGGAAACATTGAAGAAGGGAGCAAATTGGATATTTAAGAATAAAGAAGCAATTAGTGACGTTGCTGAATCAATAACACCAAAAGCTGCCCCAATAAGAGAAGTTTTAAATAAAGGAGAAAAAGTTTATCAAAGACTACAACCGATACTAAGATAAAAATAATTTTAAAATAATTTATTTTTCCACTATCTACCTCCTATTTTATTAAGTATTCCTTCAGCTATTCCACCAATTGCGTTACCTGCTTGTGCTCCCATCGCCGGATTACCTGCTTTAGTACCTAATACTCCACCTATGATAGTTCCTGCCGTTTTCGCTACTGGTGCCAAAAAGTTTGCAATGGGTTTAATAATCTTTTTATAAACCCAACCCGCAGCTTTCTTAATTCCATCCCATAATTTTTTAAAGAATCCTGCCGCCATTTCTGATTTAATATTAATTAAAAAAATATATTTCATCACTTATATTCTAATTTTTATTTAATGATAAATGAAACCGATTTTAAAAATAAATGAAACAGAGGAGGAAGAAATAAATGAAAGTGAAAATGTTCAACAAAAAATAAACGTTGTTAAACCAATTACTGAAATAAAAATTTTTTCATCTGTTGAAGAATTTAATGACTATTATGCTAATAATAAAAAATTATTTGAAGAATTGACAACGTGTAAATTGAATAAAATGTTTAAAGTTGATGGATTCAAAATTTCAAAAATAAAAGGAGTGGTTAGTTTGAAATCTATTCCTCAATCAAGAATCACCTCATTAATGAAAATTGATGATTTAACAAAAAGAATAGAAGAGATTGAAGAAAGAATGAATCAAATAATTGATTTCATAAATTCAAATAATCATTAGTTTCTTAAAGTTCAATGTTGAACTCATCAAATTCTTCTTCATCATTACCATTACCTTTAGCGAGTTTATTTACTCTTTCAACTCTATCTTTTGATAGTCTTGCGTTTAATTTTTTCTGAAGTTTTTCGTTAACAAGTTCTAAAATTTTACATGGATGATATTTAAACCCGTTAAATTCTTTTTCCTCAGTTTTAATCATTAATCTACAAAGAACTTTAGTGAGGTGGTTTTGTTGCATGCTAAGTTCGGTCAAAATGTAAACCTCTCAATTTTATCGTCGGGGGAAGTAACTCAATTCCTTCAAAATTATTCTTTAAATATTGAATTTAAAGTTATTTAATTTGGATTATAAATAAATAGGCTAATACAATATTTAAAAATGAGAAAAAATAACTTTTCAAAGAACTTTTCATAATCTCAAAGAAAATTTTTTATTCAATAATTATATAAATTAATTAACATTCATAATGAAATTGGATTTTTTTATAAAAAATTGGTCCTACTTAACTTTTTGAGAGAATTTGGCTTTCTCGTAAACGAAAAAGGGGATTTGACGGAGTCAAATCCCCGCTCACAAAAAGTGGACTTTACATGTCAAATTTTATATGCATGTAATGTCCACTTTTATGAGTTTTAGGAAGGAATTGGAAGCCATGAGTTACTGACATTGCATCAGTATCTCATAGCCTCCAATTCCTTCAAAAAATGGGAGAAACTTTGTCCGAATAGTTTAACATTCGGACAAAGTTTCTCCCATTTTAAGAAGGAATTGGAGGGTAAGAGATATACCATATGAATGTATATCTCTTACCCTCCAATTCCTCCTAGAAAGTGTCCAAACTTTGGGTTAATTGCAAAGTATTAACCCAAAGTTTGGACACTTTCAAGTGGAGATGGAAGGCTTTGGGGTATATATTAATACAATATACCTCAAAGCCTTCCATCTCCACTACAAATGGGAGAAACTTTGTCCGAATAGTTTAACATTCGGACAAAGTTTCTCCCATCTTTCAATGTAATTGCTACCTGTGAGGTACTGACTTGAAGTCAGTGCTTCACAGGTAGCAATATCCAAAAATTTAAAAACATTTTATCAGTTCGTTAGAGAACTAGAGCCTCCTAGGTACTGAACCAGAATCAGTGCCTAGGGTACTCTAGTGATCTATATAAATCTGAGAAACTTTGAGGAAATTGTTCGACATTTCCTCAAAGTTTCTCAGCAATTTAGCGAGGAATGTTCGTTATCGTGTAGATATTTTATAATATATACATGATAACAAACATTCCCCGCTAAAAGATGTAAAATCTTATAAGAAATAATTGCAAAAGAATAACAAATTGCAACAAATTTTATATGAAACTGAACCTTATGAGGTAGTGATTCAAGATCACCGCCTCATAAGATTCAGTTTCAATCTCAAGTATCTCAAAAGTAAGGCTCTATTTTTTGCCATGTAAAGTGTCACTTTTTCTGTCCAAATGATAAGTTATTCAGAGAAAGTTTCCCAGCTATCAAGAGGGAATTGTTCCTTATGAGGTATATATTCATACTGTATACCTCATAAGGAACAATTCCCTCCTTAAAACGAGAAAACTTGTTCGAAATTGTTTATCATTTCGAACAAGTTTTCTCTTTTTAATAAGAAAACTAAAGGCTTATGAGGCACTGATTATATATTAGTGCCTCACAGCCTTTAGTTTCTAATAGATAGCTGGGAAACTTTCTCCAAATGATAAGTTATTCAGAGAAAGTTTCCCAGCTATCAAGAATTGTTCCTTATGAGGTATATAGTTATAATGTATACCTCATAAGGAACAATTCCCTCATTAAAATCGTAGATATTTTTTACTTATTACTTCATGCTTTCAAAATCACAATCCTCTGAAAAGTTATTTTTTATTAAGAATTTAGAATTTTGATAAATACCTTTTTTTCAATTTGATATAATACTTATATATTTCAAAAAGACATTTTGAAAAATATCTCAAAAGTTCTCTGAAAACCTATTTTTGATTAATTTTGAGAAATATCCGTATTAAATTAATCAATAAATTCATTCAACACTACTTTAATTTTTAAATTCAAAAAATTATATGTGCTTCTTAAAATGTCTCACAAAAATTTTATTATAAAATTATATACAATATTAAAAATCCCACAACATTTTTTACTTTACATAATCGTACTTCCTCGACGATTAATTTCCCCTCAATTCCTATCGTTGACCGAACTTAGCATGCAACAGTTTTGTTGTTTAAACCATTTATCCTTAATATTTGTTATAAATTCAATATCCGGAATTAATTCCCAAATTTTTGAATTTTCGATTAATTTACCATCAAATGCAAAAGCAATAGGTTTAATATTAAACTTACCTTTATAAAATAAACTTTGTATGTAATCATCAAAATAAACGTCTACTTGTTTAACCTGGGTGAGAATTGGTGAAAGTTTATTCATTAATTGATTTACAGTCACGAATTTTGATTCACTCATTTCATACAAAATAAAAAAATAAATTATTCAAAAATGTAAGACATGAATTTTTAAAGTTTATTTTTTATTCATGAAAATAATTATTTCTAATTTCTTTTACTCGTTTATGAGGTCTTTGATTATGACTCCATTGATTCCATTCAGGATTTAAACAATGTTTAATTAATCGCGGAATATCTGACATCATCTATATATAGCTTCTTTTATAAAAGATAAAAAAATAAATTATTTTAAAATTAATGTTAATTTTTTAATGATTTATAAATAAATATATTTTAATGCATCGTCTATATATAGATGTAACAAAAAAAGTCACACAACCCTTCATATCCTACTACTATATAATTTTTAAAATTTGATACTCAAACAAGAATTCCATCATCTTTATATGTTTCTCCATGTATATATTTAAAATGACCGACTGAAATTCTTAATTCAAAATACTGTACGTTAAGCAGATTTAGAAATGACCTATTATAGTGATAAGATTGAAACCATTGGCTACATTGCAGATCACAATGCTGAGCAAGTCCGAAATATTCTAGGGATAGATCAAACCGATGCCAATCTTTTAGTTAAAGACATTCAGGATGAAAAAATGGTTGATAGAAAGGTTTCAAAGCTATTAAAACTATTAATTGATCGATTATCAACTTTAAATAGAGGATTACACTCAAATGAAACTGTTTTGGATCAAAAACAATACACAGATTTTCAATCTTCATATAAAATCAAAAGTTTAAATGATTTATATAATCCGATTCGTACTAATTCGAGGAATGATGCCTACTCCCAAGGAAATACTTCGCCTACAACCAAAAGATCAATAATTGAAGAAATAGATAAATCTCGATCACTATCATCAATGCAAAGTCAAATTGCCGAAGATCTTCAAGAACAACTTTTGGATGTTCAAGATCAATTAACAAAATTACGACAAAAATATATAAATTCTGATAAACCCAAGCTTGAAGATAAGAATGAAGTCAGTATTAAAAAATACAATGATCTGAAAGTCAAATATCAAAAACTTAAATCAATTGATGTTCACCTGAAGAAAGAAATTCAAGATTTGAAATCATCCATTTCTGAGACATCAAAAATTAGTAAGCTTACGCAAGATAGTGTGTCTGAAGGCATAAACCCTCTAAAAATTCAGAATGATTCGATCATTGATTCTCCTGAAAATGGAATGTCATCAGAATATTCACAAAATTCAGCAAATCATAATAATTTTTCGAAAGAACTTAAAGTTGAAAGGCATAGAAGGATCAATGCTCAAAAAGAAATCATTGCCCTGAAGAAAAACATCAAAGATTTGCAACAGAAACTTAAATCAAAAGAAGAAAAAGAAACAACTAATGATGATATTGAAATACTTAATCAGAGAGCAGATAAAGCAGAAAATGAAGTTTTAGTGCAAAAAGCTCTTTATTCTCAACTGAAACAGAATTATGATACATTAATGCAAACAATATCTGTTTTAAGATCTGAAAATGCTGCAATGCTTGACGAAAAAGGAAAACTTTTCGAAAAGATTTCTTCATTGGAAAAATCTGTTAGAACAAGTGCTAACGAATCAATTGAAAAAGACGCATATAGACTTAAGTATTCAGATTCACTTTGTGAGAAAAGGAATATCGAACAAAAGTTTGAAGAAGCTCAAACTGAAATAAAGAGATTAAATCATGAGATCATAAGATTAGAAGCGATGTTGACAAAAACAAAAGATGAGAACTATAAAAATACGGAGACCATCAAAGTCTACGAGAATGATATGCTCACATTAAGCAGATATGGTTTTCTTCTTGCAGATGCATTAGGTCAAAGATTCAATCCTCAAAATGTTGAGATAGAAATAGAACGTTTATTAGAAATTGTCAAAGAAGAACATCAAGAATATATGATGTTCCATCCACCTCAATATAGAGAAACTTGTTCTGAGTGTGGTAGACCTCTATATTAGTTGTTGATTAATGTTATTAATATAGAATCTTTTAAAAGTTCATGTTAGTATTCTTATACTACACAATCTAAATTTTTAGTGATCTATTGGTTATGTTTATAAAGTTTAATGGGAATTTATATTCCATACTTTCTCAGTTTTAGAAGTATTTGGATTTGTGGGTATGTTAACACATGCGATATAAATCTTAAGAGAAAACATCCACTAGCAATATGTATAGAATTAATATATTCTCACTGAATGATAATGAATCTAAACTTGAAATCATATTCTTTGTGTCTGTATCTCAAAATATGAGGGGATTGAAAGGTTTACACGCGAAGAATAAGATTTCAAGCTTATTAGTTTAAAAAAAAAATTAATTTCCGACAAAATTCATGCAAGTGATATCATATGGGAATGGAGAAGAACATTTAATAGCAGATTTGGAAAGGAATTCTTTTTGAATACAAGACTAACGAAATAAAAAAATTGTGCAAAGTAGTATATGAGAGCGGGTTGTGTGACTTTTTTTGTAAACGTAAGAATTCATACAATATAGAACGATTTTGTATCATTTTTTTTAACATATGAAGTAAAAAAATGTATGATTCTTACGGTTTTTATTCTTACGTTTTTGAATAAATCAAGATTTAAAAATGATACAAAATTGTAAGACATTTACACTCAACCCAAACATAAACCATTAAAAAATTAACATTGATTAAATCCTGAATGGAATCAATGAAGTCATAATCAAAGACCTCATAAACGAGTAAAAAGAAATTGAAACTAATTTTTATTTGAATTTATGATATCAATTATTTGATTTATTCTTTCTTCAATAATTTCTATTCTTTTTGTTAAATCATCAATTTTCATTAATGAGGTGATTCTTGATTGAGGAATAGATTTTAAACTAACAACACCTTTTATTTTTGAAATTTTGAATCCATCAACTTTAAACATTTTATTCAATTTACATGTTGTCAATTCTTCAAATAATTTTTTATTATTAGCATAATAGTCATTAAATTCTTCAACAGATGAAAAAATTTTTGTTTCAGTAATGGGTTTAACAATGTTTATTTTATTTTGAACATCTTCACTTTCATTTATTTCTTCCTCCTCTGTTTCATTTATTTTTAAAATCGGTTTCATTTATCATTAAATAAAAATTAGAATATAAGTGATGAAATATATTTTTTAATTAATATTAAATCAGAAATGGCGGCAGGATTCTTTAAAAAGTTATGGGAAGGAATTAAGAAAGCTGCAAGTTGGGTTCATCAAAAGATTATTAAACCCATTGCAAACTTTTTGGCACCAGTAGCGAAAACGGCAGGAACTATCATAGGTGGAGTATTAGGTGCTAAAGCAGGTAATCCAGCGATGGGAGCACAAGCAGGTAACGCAGTTGGTGGAATTGCTGAAGGAATACTTAATAAAATAGGAGGTAGATAGTGGAAAAATAAATATTATTTTTATCTCAATATCGGTTGTAGTCGACGATAAACTTTATCTCCTTTATTTAATACTTCCCTTACCGGAACATTAGGTGCTATTTGTTCTGCAACGTCACTAATTGCTTCTTTATTCTTAAATATCCAATTTGCTCCCTTCTTCATGTTTCCCAAACTTTATGCGCTCCTCTTTTTACTTTATCCCATAACTTTTTAAAGAATCCTGCAGCCATAGTTGATTATTTCATTAAAATTAAAAATTCATTTTCATCTTTTAATTTTGATTTTTTTATTTCATCATAAATGACGACTAACTATTTGGTGCCAAACACTAAACCAATTAATGGAAATGTATTTCATTCATTCGAAAAGATAAATGAAATATTCGCAAAGAATGACGGTAGAAGATATTATAGAGAACTTGAAAGTTCATGCTATGACTCTGATACTCCATATTTTGATGATAAACAAACTCATTTAAGAATTACAAATCCGGCTCATGATGTGAACCAATTAGGTGACACATATATTAAACGCAAAGTTAAAGCAACTCTAGTTTCAAATAAAGCTTTCACATGTGATGCCGCTTTTAAATGCATGCGTTTATTCGTTGGTTACAAATCATCAAATCAAAGCTTTAAACAATTAGAAGTAGAAACCGAAAGAGGTGATGCTGGTTATCTTCAGATGGATTGCGCCCGTGAATCTTTCGCATTTGCAACATATAAACCAAAATCAGAAAGGAAAGTTAAAAAGTTTGTTCATTCATTATATAAATGTTCAAAAATATGATAACTCAGTATGTGGTAAATATATTGACCCTTCAGAAGTTTTCAAGAAGCAAATGAAGAAGTTGATGTCACTTTTGATATGATTATTCCGGTAAATGATTTGTTAGCATTTCAGGCGTTCGATGATTATCCCAAATCATTTGGTGAAATCATTTTGAAATATTATGTTTTCAGGGATACTTTGGTATTTTTCAGGTTGACCCGTTAAGAGTTGCTGATTTACAAAATTACGTTTATGAAAAGATAACTGATGAAAATTATGAAAAGATTATGAATCATGTTTATAAATATGATCGCAAATTCCAACAAATCGGACTTCCTGCCAAATTAATTACAAGCTTAGCCGCTACATCTGCTGACGCAACAGTTGAAGACGTTATTATTTCATGCACAAAGATGGAAGTTTTAGAGGATAAATGCATTACACCAGGATACGGTTTAATTGAAGAATCAGTTAAAGCAATACCACGTTTATTCAGTAAGGAAGATCCATTCATGATTCCAGCTCAACATATTGACGTTCGTTCACTAAATGGAGGTTGCATCACTCCTGAAGGTATCAGCTCTGATTTCTCATACGCTCTTCATAATGTTACAGATGTTGTGTTAACATTTCCGAAGAATGCAATGCAAAGAACAGTTTTAGAAAATCCAATGCTTCGAGGTCTTCAGGTCACTATAGATTCCAGAAACTTCCCCGATCAAGCGATGACCACAGTGGGTGACATATTCTTTACACGTATGCTTCAAGCTTCTGATTTAGATGGAGTGAATGAATGCACAGAAGAATACGAGGACTCATTAACTAGACCACTGAATGATGATAATGGCACGCCATTAGCTAGAACATGGAAAGACCAAACTTCATTCTTATGCACTATTCCAGTTCAACGTGATGGAGCGGGTATATTCTTTGATGGATTAGAAACTTTCAACTCACAAGTTACAGTACAAGTGAAAGCTTATCCAATCATTCAGGGTGAAAATGACACTTACTGTTCAAAGGTGACAAATCCTCCTCAGGTTTGGTTTACTAGGACTACATATTGGACATGGACACCGGATGAAGGTTTGAAATATCATCCAACAGGTACACCACCACAGTATAGAAGTTCATATGATGAAATATTGATGAATAGAAATGTTTAAAATTATAAATTTATTTTTGATTAAATGGATTTCAATTCTGAAGAATTAGCAGGAGTATATAATACATACGTAGATGATATGATTAATGAAGCATTGAGTGATAATAGAAATGCTCTATCTAAGGAAAAATTAATGAAAATTCCATATTCTGAATGTTACTTAAATTCAATCACTGCAGCAATTGGTAAACAAAATAAAGGTAAAACATTAACGATATTAAAACAAATTATCATTATTGCTAACACTTCCCTTATTCACATGTGTTAATTTATATCAACCGTTCAGGTTCACCTTCAGATGATACATTTGAATCATTAAAGCATTTAATAAAAATTCCAATTATTTATTTATCACAAGAAGAAGCGGAAGATTATTTGAAAAACTTTTTAATGTATAAAGAGTTATATAATACAATCAAGAAGCAAGGATTAGAGGATAAAATTATTGATAAACAAAGGGATGAATTATTTGAAACACTTTCTATTTCAAATTTTGATAAAGAATTTTTGCATTCACTAATTTTTCTAGATGATGCCGTGAAATCAAAACTAATAACTAATGAGAAATCATATTTTAATCAATTATTAACTCAATGTCGACACATTCAGTGTTCATTCTTTATGGCTGTTCAATACTTTAAAGCATTAAGCACAAACATTAAATCAAACCTGTCCACCCTTTTCATTTTCAGTGGTTTTAGTCGTCAACAGTTGAACGTTATGCTTTATCAAGTGAATTTACCAATGAGCATTAATGAACTTTACACACAATATCAACAATTAGGAGAACATGGAAAAATAATAGTTGATTTAAATAAAGGTTCCATTAAATTCGAATAACTTTTTTATAATTAATTTTTATTTTTTATTTATAATTAAACATGACAGAAATTGCAAATCTTCTACAGGTTCCATTAAAACAAGGAACAAACAAAAAGGGTGCATATAATAGAACTATGAAAGTTCCAGACGGAATGAAAGAATTAGTCCACATTGTTGCCGGTCTTCAAAAGGATGTTAAACAAATGAGAAACGTTTTAACATTACCAGAAGCTCAAGCATATGCCAAACGTCATGGACCAAATTGGGAAGCACATGAAGCAGACATTACAGGACCAAATGGAAAGCCTGATGGAATAAATGAAGTCTTTGTTACTGATGGTCAAGGAAATATTAAAGTCATAAATGGGTATAAATTAACAATGACGGATTATCCTAAACGTAAAGCATATAATGAACGTTATCCTATGCAATTTGATGAAAATGGAAAAGCTGTTAAACAACATATCGGAGACAGTAAAGATGGACCAATTCTTTCATACCGTCATAATCCATATTCTTATTTCAATGAAGAATTAAACGCTATTGAAGAGGGACCGGATGGATTACCACGATATGTTAATCAGTTTGATGGTCAATATGCAAATTTAAGACATGAAATTCCAGCTAAGAAATTCTTTAAAGTTGCTTTATTCGATCCAGTGTTCAATGAACAGAAAGAAGCAATGAAAGCAGAATTTAAACCAATTCAAGTGGCAAGAATTTCTTCATCTTCACTTTCAGAAGCGTTCAAGGAATTGATAAAGAAACCACTTTATTCTCAACAAGGTTATAACTTTGATTTAATTAAAGAAAGTGATAGACGTAAATTAGAAAAATCGGATGGTTTTAAGAATGCATGTAATGAAATGATTAAAGATATTGTAAATGATAAAATAAGACTGGAAGAAACTCAAACCATTATCAATAACATAATTGGTGCAGTTACAAAGAAAGTATAAGCAAACAAGGATGAACCTTGGGATATTACCGTAACAACTAAATAAAACTTTAAATATATTTTTCTTTTTTTTATTCAATTATAAATGAGAAGACGTTTCACAAGTCAAAAGAACACAAACGCAAAAGCAGAGATTACGGTTGGTTATAATGTAAATGATGATAAATCACGAATTATTCAAAATGTTAAAGTTAATGTTAGTCCTGAATTAACAAGGTCAGCAACTCAACCAAATTTATTAACTCGTGACTTACCGAAAAAGGAGGAGGAGCAAAATAAAGAAGATGGAGACCCAATCATTTTAGCTGAACCAGGTAAAGAACCTGTTGAAATTCCCACTTATCCAACATACCCAGCACCACTTGATAACCCATATAAAATAGACATTAATTCTGAATTAATGAAAATATATCGCGATATCATAACTGATAATTATGATTCAATAATAAATTTAATTGACCAATCCGGTTTAATTATTTTACCTTATGAATCATTAATTCACATTATCGCCATTCTTTGTGATGTTCAAGATTCAGACGTGAAGATTCAATTTTTCATAGATGATGAGGTTTCATGCTGCGGAACAGTTGCAAAAATAAATCCTATAAAGGATATTAGCACAATTAAGATATCAAAGAACGGAACAACAACTGAACTTCATTTAACATATAATGATATTTATAATAAAATAGTTGATGAATATAAAATATCACTTGAAAAATTCTTTGTTAAGGCTATTTAATATTCAAGCATTAACATTAACGAATAATAATCCTTTGAATCATAATCAATAATAATTGACCTTTCACCAGTTTCTATCGTTTGTTTTATTTCTTTTTGTTCCCCACTATCGGATCAGTCATTGTAATTGTTTTTGTTATAGTATCTGCTTTATCTTTAACTTCAATCTTTTTTCCATCGGGATATTTAAACCAAAATTCCAAAAATTCGATATTGTCAATCTGTTCATATTTTAATCTATCAATTACATTTTTAATACCATCTGAAAATCTTATGAAATGGTCATTATATGGGTTTGATTGAACTAAATTTGAATGAAGTGAAATATAACCTTGATGAATATGACATCGACTCATATTTTCTGAAAACACTAAAATTTATAACATGAATGAATTTCTTATTCGTTGAATTTATGAATTCTTGAGGTAATCTTATTCTAGTTTTATTTATCACTGGAAAATAACGCTTTACCATATTTTTAATCGTAATAAAAAATGTCAATTATCAATATTATTTCGAATAATAGTTGTGAATTAAATTTAACAGTTAGTGGAATTTATAATGTTACTCTCGTTTCTGTGAGTGGTAAATTTAATCCCATTCTTTTAGACCCTTCAGATTATATATCATTTATTAAAGATGACCATGAAAAAACGTATGATATGTATATAAATAATGTGATAGTGAAATGGGATATTAACACAATTTTAAGTTATTTAAATGAATCATTTATCGTATGGTATGAAGAAAATTTTAAATCAAAACCGATAAACTTTTTGAACTTGATGAAATAAATAACCTTATTAAATTCCCGCTGAAAATTAAATTTTGTACTCCTCGTCTTCGTTCATTGTTGGGAATATTAAATTTTGAAAAAGATGTTGGGGATGTTTTGTATTCTGACACTGGTTCCAATTTCATTTTAATCAAATGTGATAAAGTTAATACCCCAATGAGATTTTCACATCAAACATTAGACCCTAACTCTTACCCATCAATACAAAACATTTTATCCATCAACTTAAACATATTTTCTTTATCATATCCATTTCAATTATCCGGGAATTCATTTATTCTTCATTCAAAAGATTTATCAAATATTAAATTTAGAATAACTGACCTATTTGATTGTGATTTAGAATTCATGAATGAAATATTATGGCAATTTCAAATAGAAAAAATAGGTGATGAGATAACAGATTAAATATTTATTTTTAAATCGTAATAAATGATTAAACAACAGCAACCACAGACCATTACATACGCCACATATGCATATAATTCAAAGACGGCAGAACAAACGCAAAGGTTGAAATATGGAGATTTGGAGATAGTATTGAAAAATGACCATTTTGAATTCGTTTGCAAAGGTGGTGCGGTGATATCAAATATAAAAGAAATTTTATTTATGAATTCAAAAATTAAAGGTATAACGGATGATATAACATCAATTCCACCAGAAGAACAAAGATATTACGCATTAAATGCATTTCCTAAAGTTTTGAAGATTGGAAGATTTAATTTAAATGAGGAATTCATAAAAGGTTTCCTAAATGACATAATGAAGAAAGCAGATAAGGAATATGTGGATAGTGTGTTAGTGAAGAAGGCGGATAAGGAATATGTGGATGAAAAAGATAATGATAATGAAAAAATTATAGAAAGGGTTGAATGGTATCATGAACGGACATCAAAGATTTTAAAAACTAAAGCTGATACAGGATGGGTTTCAGGATGTTTAGACCTTAAAGCAGATAAGGAATATGTTAACGAAAATTATGCAAAGAAGTCGGAAGTAAATGATGTGATTACAAGCATGAAAAATGAAATACTTCAAACATTATATCCTGTTGGTTCTATTTATACATCAATGAACTCAACAAACCCCGCAACAGTTTTAGGTTTAGGTGAATGGAAGCAGATTGTAGATAAATTCTTATACTGTGCTAGATATTCAAAGACGGCAGGAGGTTCAAAGAAAATAAATATTGAAAACCTTCCACCGCACACTCATACAGGAACTACAAACTTTTCTGGTGACCATATCCACTCATTAAGAGACCATCCATTATACAACTCAGAATATTATGCTGGCAATGACGTTTTATCTCCAGATTATAACCATTCGGCAAAAAAGACTTTTCGACCAACTGAACCAGGAGGAAATCATTCACACACTTTCACAACAAATCCAACAGGCTTGGGTAAAGATTATATGCCACCATTTATAACTCTATTCGCATGGTATAGAGTTTATTGAATGAACTAAATATATTTTATGTCTGTAATTAATTAGGTAATGAAGTAATGGATGAACTGCAGAAATAAATTTTATCGTTAATGTTTACGTTAATGGTTTTTAGGTTATTCAATAATGACTTATTTTTGAATATATGAGGGGTCACTCGGTCACTCGGTCACTCGGTCACTCGGTTAATTAACATCTTTTTGAAAATGAGACAACATGACATTTAGACAACATCATAGGAGGAAGGCAGTTATGACTTATTTTTGAAGAACTGAAGGTGTCACCATGTCACCATGTTGACAACATGACATTGTGTCAACAACACAGGAGGAAGGCAGTTATGACTTATTTTTGAAGAACTGAAGGTGTCACCATGTCACCATGTGTCACCAGGTCATTTAACTTCTCTGAAAAAATGAGACAACATGACATTTAGACAACATCATAGGAGGAAGGCAGTTATGACTTATTTTTGAAGAACTGAAGGTGTCACCATGTCACCATGTTGACAACATGACATTGTGTCAACATCATAGGAGGAAGGCAGTTATGACTTATTTTTGAAGAACTGAGGGTGTCACCATGTCACCATGTGTCACCAGGTCATTTAACTTCTCTGAAAAAATGAGACAACATGACATTTAGACAACATCATAGGAGGAAGGCAGTTATGACTTATTTTTGAAGAACTGAAGGTGTCACCATGTCACCATGTTGACAACATGACATTGTGTCAACAACACAGGAGGAAGGCAATAATGACTTATTTTTGAAGAACTCAAGGTGTCACCAGGTCACCATGTGTCACCAGGTCATTTAACTTCTCTGAAAAAATGAGACAACATGACATTTAGACAACATCATAGGAGGAAAGCAAAAATAAATTCCAATCATACTTTATACTGCCTCATTTACAGGTATTTCATCGTCAGTAAATGATTCCTCATTATCGTTTAGTTCAACCTGTTTATATAATCCTTTCATTTCTTCTTTCAAAACATAATACCATGTTTGTTTACCATCTATTCTTATTTGTTTCCTATCACATTTATCCTTAATGCTCATTTGAAAATTCTTGTCTTTCATGTCTGATGGTTTGCAGAATAGAGCATTTTTACACGTCATACCTGCACACAATTCATCATAATGTGTATTTATCCATACATCTAAAGGATTTGTTGATAATTCAATTAAATCTTGTTTGGCTTCAGTCATCGGAATGATTCGTACATTAAATGATGAAAGGTCGTAATTGATAAAATATGTTAGTAAATTATCATAAAATTCCTTTGTGCATGAATCCATTAAATTCTTGAAGTAATCAAATTGACCCTTAATTTACCATTCTTAAAACTACATATCTTCTGTCTCCAACTTCAATTTTGACAGGGTAAACGTTATTAGTTACGAAAATAAAATTGGCAACATTCTGAGCAGTTCTTCTGGGTTGATTCTTTTCATTAATTCTAATCTCATTATCCGTTATAATTGATTTCAAAGCGTTGAAGTTTGCGAGTCTGTCTTCACCAACATTCTTGAGTTCATTAAGTACAAGAAACATTTTATTCTCAACTACTGAATTGAAATTACCCGTTAACTCACCTATTTCAGTAATGTTTTTACATGAATAACCAGCGAGAAGTTCAGAAATAATGTCTGTAAATCTGTTTTTGCCTGTTCCCTGAAGTCCTTTCAAAATAATTGCTGTTTCATTCTTGATTCCAGGATGTTGAATCATTGATGCAATCCAACCGAGAAGGTATTTATACACTTCATCGTTATTATCACAAATGACTTCTTTAATGAAATTCATAAACATCTCAATTTTTGAGTAATCTACTTTTTCGAGAATGTTGTATTTATAACCTTGAAACGTTGAGAAAACATCTGGGGAATCAGATTTAAAGCAAACACCCTTAACGGTTAATGAAGACAATTGATTTAGTAGTACGTCCCATGCTGTTATGGTTTTACCTTCTTCTTTAAATAATTTAATCATTTTGAGTGACTCTTTCATGTTTGATTGAAGAACGAATGATATTTGATTCATTTTATCATGAATATTATAGTCTTTTTGAATGAAATATTTGTTTCACAATCTATCACGAATGACACGTGATAAATCCTCAATTACTTCAGAACTGTTTTTATACTGATGATTTTCAGCCTTGCGTCTAATATCTGTTATCAAAAACGAGTCATCAAGTTTGATATCAAATGTTATTTTTGGCTTACGTAATAAAGGCAAAACGTATTCATCATAATATTCCTTTTGATATAGTTTTAGAATCTTTACCAAAACAAATGGAGAAGTCATTAAATGTGCATATCTATCACGTGCTTTTTCAAAATTACTTTTTGCATTTTCTGTTAAACTGCAGAAGTTATAAACGTTGTCGTATGCTTCATTAATTAAATGATTAGGTAACGAATTAATAGCTTGAAACAGTGTGAATAATGTAACTTCTTTTTCTAAATTCATGTTTCCGCCGTCATTATGTACTTCAAAATCACAGATGCCATCAACTATGCTCTGGGCAAGTTTATCGTCAATGTTTACATCTTTGTCTTCATTCATGATAGTCTTTATTTCTTCGTTCTTTTGTTCAACTCTTACCTTAATATTCAAATCATTTAATATATCATTCACTGTTCTGGTTAATGTTGAATCATAACTTCCACGAATGAATGAGTATGTATTGATTAGTTCTGTTGCATTCTTGCGAACTCTTGAATCAGCCATAACCACTAAAGAACGCTTTGAATCATCCATAGAAGTCATTATGTCAATATCATAATCATTGCAGGAATAACATTTAATCATTCTGTTCGAGGTTGAATAGAAGAAATTAGTGTTGCAATAAATGTGAAGACCTCCTGATGCGGTTTTAACGATAACATCTTTATCCGAAAGTTTTGATAAAATATCTTTTCTAACTGTTTCTTTAAGTTCATCATTGTACGATTTATTGATATCAACATCTATAATCGTTAAATTTGAAATTTTATTTACTAATAAAGCTGTACCAGTTTTCCTTCCTCTTCCTCCATCATGTTTGAGGTAGTTATGTAGATCAATCTTATTTTCACCAATTCTTTCGTTGAGGGTTTTAGTTTCTGCCACAACTAATTCCTCAACTAATGAATCAATAACTTTTTCATCAGAAACGATAAAGTTGTTGTTGTTGTTTGTTGCTGTCATTTATATAGGAATAAAAAAATAAAAATAATTTTAAAACTAACCTTATTTTTGGGCTGCATCATATTTCCGTCACTGTTGTCAAAATGTCATGTTGTCACTATTTTTTAAAGAAGTTAAATGACCTGGTGACACATGGTGACATGGTGACACCTTCAGTTCTTCAAAAATAAGTCATTATTGCCTTCCTCTCGTGTTGTTGACACAATGTCATGTCGTCAACATGACAACCTGGTGACACCTTGAGTTCTTCAAAAATAAGTCATTATTGCCTTCCTCCTATGATGTTGTCTAAATGTCATGTTGTCTCATTTTTTAAAGAAGTTAAATGACCTGGTGACACATGGTGACCTGGTGACACCTTGAGTTCTTCAAAAATAAGTCATTATTGCCTTCCTCCTGTGTTGTTGACACAATGTCATGTCGTCAACATGGTGACATGGTGACACCTTCAGTTCTTCAAAAATAAGTCATAACTGCCTTCCTCCTATGATGTTGTCTAAATGTCATGTTGTCTCATTTTTTCAGAGAAGTTAAATGACCTGGTGACACATGGTGACCTGGTGACACCTTCAGTTCTTCAAAAATAAGTCATAACTGCCTTCCTCCTGTGTTGTTGACACAATGTCATGTTGTCAACATGGTGACATGGTGACACCTTCAGTTCTTCAAAAATAAGTCATTATTGCCTTCCTCCTATGATGTTGTCTAAATGTCATGTTGTCACTATTTTTTAAAGAAGTTAAATGACCTGGTGACACATGGTGACATGGTGACACCTTCAGTTCTTCAAAAATAAGTCATTATTGCCTTCCTCTCGTGTTGTTGACACAATGTCATGTCGTCAACATGACAACCTGGTGACACCTTCAGTTCTTCAAAAATAAGTCATTATTGCCTTCCTCCTATGATGTTGTCTAAATGTCATGTTGTCTCATTTTTTCAGAGAAGTTAGATCTAACCATCTACCCTAAAAATTATTTTTGGTGAATTCAATAAAAATAAATGGTTCATTTACTCACAATATTTTTGTACAAAACGACCCCAAACTTTTAACTTCTTTTCTGCAGCTTCTAATGCTATCTTAGCGAGTTCATATTCTCTAAATTCTCTCTTTAAATCTTCTTGTTCCCATTGGTCTAGTTCGTATGGAGAATCTCTATAACCATAACATATCTCACGTTCATGTTCTAATTGTTTTTCGCACATTTTTCCAACTTCTTGTTCGAACAAAGGTTTAGCATTCTTCACTGTATCTTCAAGTTCTTCTTCATCTAATTTCTCATGAACTTTCTTGTCTATGGAGTCCATAATTTTTCCAACTGCTATACAATATTTTGGAGAAGCCCACATTGCTATATAGTTTAGAAGTCTCGGGTCTGCATACGTTCCTCTAACCTGTTTGATTTCATCAGGAATTCCTGCATGAATTTTGTATAAAAACCAACCGCCGGAATTCCGGCGGTTGCTATATTCTTCACAAAATGCCTTATAATACTCTTCCCAGGACTTATTTTCCAACAACTTTCTAAAGTCTTTCCTAAACTGCTGACACATATTTGTTGCATTTATATAACCATCCTTGTCTCTACGTAAGACTTCAATACCATTATAAGTGCCTTTTGTGAATGTTTCGCCATTAGATTTGTTCGTGAACGTTTTTGCTTCGACTGACATTTCTGTTCTTACATACAAGATAAAAAGTTGAAAAAATAAAACTAACGTTATTTTTTGACTGCATCATATTTCCTGTGTTGTTGTCTAAATGTCATGTTGTCTCATTTTTTCAGAGAAGTTAAATGACCTGGTGACACATGGTGACATGGTGACACCTTCAGTTCTTCAAAAATAAGTCATAACTGCCTTCCTCCTGTGTTGTTGACACAATGTCATGTTGTCAACATGGTGACATGGTGACACCTTGAGTTCTTCAAAAATAAGTCATAACTGCCTTCCTCCTATGATGTTGTCTAAATGTCATGTTGTCTCATTTTTTCAGAGAAGTTAAATGACCTGGTGACACATGGTGACATGGTGACACCTTCAGTTCTTCAAAAATAAGTCATAACTGCCTTCCTCCTATGATGTTGTCTAAATGTCATGTTGTCTCATTTTTTCAGAGAAGTTAAATGACCTGGTGACACATGGTGACATGGTGACACCCTCAGTTCTTCAAAAATAAGTCATAACTGCCTTCCTCCTGTGTTGTTGACACAATGTCATGTCGTCAACATGGTGACATGGTGACACCCTCAGTTCTTCAAAAATAAGTCATAACTACCTTCCTCCTGTGTTGTTGTCTAAATGTCATGTTGTCTCATTTTTTCAGAGAAGTTAAATGACCTGGTGACACATGGTGACATGGTGACACCTTCAGTTCTTCAAAAATAAGTCATAACTACCTTCCTCTCGTGTTGTTGTCTAAATGTCATGTTGTCTCATTTTTTTCAGAGAAGTTAGATCTAACCATCTACCCTAAAAATTATTTTTGGTGAATTCAATAAAAATAAATGGTTCATTTACTCACAATATTTTTTTTACAAAACGACCCCAAACTTTTAACTTCTTTTCTGCAGCTTCTAATGCTATCTTAGCGAGTTCATATTCTCTAAATTCTCTCTTTAAATCTTCTTGTTCCCATTGGTCTAGTTCGTATGGAGAATCTCTATAACCATAACATATCTCACGTTCATGTTCTAATTGTTTTTCGCACATTTTTCCAACTTCTTGTTCGAACAAAGGTTTAGCATTCTTCACTGTATCTTCAAGTTCTTCTTCATCTAATTTCTCATGAACTTTCTTGTCTATGGAGTCCATAATATCTTTGACATAAAATGCATACTTTACAGAGCACCATTCAGCAACAAAATGAACGAGGTCAGGATGTATGTAAATACCTTTGAATTCATTCATAACACCCTTTGTAAGCTCATAAAATGCTTGTTTTGAGGTTGAGCCACTTTTGGCTCCACCGTATTCGTTCATCCAAAACTCAAGAATTTCCTGCATTTTAGCACTATTGAGAAATCTGTTTAAATGGTTTAACTTTCCTGCTTCTCTTGCCATCTTTGTTGCATTTATATAACCATCCTTGTCTCTACGTAAGACTTCAATACCATTATAAGTGCCTTTTGTGAATGTTTCGCCATTAGATTTGTTCGTGAACGTTTTTGCTTCGACTGACATTTCTGTTCTTACATACAAGATAAAAAGTTGAAAAAATAAAACTAACGTTATTTTTTGACTGCATCATATTTCCTGTGTTGTTGTCTAAATGTCATGTTGTCACAAACTTTAGAACGGCATAATTTAAATTTTTATTTTTATCATAAATGAATACCCCACAAGCTCAAAATTTACCACGAATCATAACAAGGGAGGAAATGATAAAAATGATGCGAGAACTTGCTAAAAATAACAAACCACTAAAACTGAGAAAATGCGGTTATGCAGTAATGATGGAAAGAGAGATGTTGTCGAAGAGGAATAAAAATTAAATTTGGATAGAGTTTAAAAATTCATCTTTATTAAATTCATCTCTTCCAATCAATTTATTTATTCTATTAAATTCTTTTATTTTTGCTTCACTCAGTTTAAGGATTGAACGGCAAGTTTCTAATTTTTCGATTATTTCTTCATCGTTTTCAACCCCACCACATTGCGGCTTCTTTTTGTAATAACATATTTTTGATTTAATTCTGTTTAGTTTCTTTTTATATTCATCGTCTGGACTCTTGACTGCTTTGTTGTCACTCATTTCTTACGAAATAAAAAAATTAAATATTATTTAAATATAATGGAGTAATAAAATAAATCGGAATTTCTATTAATTTATTGTCAACTTCAACTAATACATTGCCGTTAATATATCTAACAAATTCAGCTATTGTGTCAAATCTTCGTCTTCTTTTTGTCAATGATTTATCAGTTTTTCCATAATCGAGATGAATCAAAAACTTTATCCCCTTGTTTAAAATTCATGAGCCCCGAATTAATTTGTTCATGTTTAACATCATTCAACCTTTCCATTTGCTTTCTAATATATTCCCATTCTTTTGAAATATCATTTTTCATTTCCACTGGTTTCATGTTAATAGTTCTATGCCATGTATTATTGTAATAATATACTAACTGCTGTATGATGGAGTCATGATTTCCATCCCAGTATATCTGACCGTTAACCCCTAACGCATCTCTAAGAGTTCTCATTACTGCATCAACTATTTTATTATGAAACGTATATGGAGAGGATGAGAAGTAAAAATTAATTTGTGGGAAATAATGAGCCATAGCTGCCTGAAATCCTTTATCACCATCACCCCTGATATTATCTACTCTTTCATGATCTAGTAAGTATTGTATAGCTCTTCTTGTTTCCTGTTCTGTTTTCCCTTTCACCGGAATGCAATATAAATATCTAGTGTTAATGTTAATGGCAAATAAATAAGTAACGTTTCCTTTTGAATATTCCAGATGATCGATTTCGTATGAATATGGATATGGAACAAATGAAGGGCGACTAAATTTTTCCTTTAATGGTTGAATTTTCGGGTCAATTGGTTTATTTAATATCTTGAAATCCT